TGGGATCGGAGGAGCCGTCCTGACATGATTATGAGGGATTCATCTGCAGCCATCTGCCACCGTTATGAAGGGGGGGAGGTGTGGGTGAGCTAGCAGAGAGACAAATAGAGAGAGAGAGTGAGAGAGAGAGAATGCAAGGCAGATGAAGAGAGGGAGGAACGCGCAGACCTTCTGTTCAGCGAGTGTGCCACAAACCCACCATTACCCAGGCCTCTGGCCTACACTTTCAACACGACCACGTGCTCTGCCCCAGAATCTGAAGGTGAGCTCAGGGTCTAATTAAGGAAACAGAAGTAGGTCATAAAACCTGTGCACCTATGATGCTTTTACACCACTCAGCAGCGCAATAAACGGCTCAAAGGCAGGAACTTTACACCACAACCAACGTCTGACCGTTCTGAATGAAGGCTCCAATCAAAGGGAAGTTAAAGCCGTTTATTTTTTTTCCCCAGATTTGTCCCAGATTGTTGAGGCAGAAACAGAGAATAGAGCTAAAAAACTGACAGAGGTTTGTTTTTAAAGAAGACAGTGACGTTGCTGATTCCCAAAGTGTGGTGCATGCTGGGGCACCACGCTGCTGCGTTCTTTTTGCCTCGTCAGGAGACAACGTTTTTTTTTTGTGACCAGTTCTCCCGCAAAACACGTACATATTAGGACTGATTGTGGTCACAGAGCTGGTTTGAGGTCAAGCGTAGTTGACCTTAATTGCGATACGGTGACGAAATTCAAACCGGTGCATCGTGTTTGGAGAAGATTCTTCCAGGTACCACTGCTTTTATATTCTCACTTGGAAATGACACCTACACACTACATCATATTCACACACCAGTTGGAGGACAGGCCACAGCAGATGGGTCTGTTGCTCATCACAATGTCCACTTGTTCTAAAGGGGAAGGCGGGGGCTCCAGACAGCACGTCTGAAGTTGTGTAATAGCCTTTAAGTGTCACAAACCAAAGTCACACATCGTCCTTTTTTGCTTTTTTTTCTCAGGTTTGGTTCCCTTCCCCTTTTTTAACGGAGAGATTGTTCACACTGTTTACCATTAAACTAGACTGCAGAATCTGAAGGGCTGAACAGAGGAATACGTTAAAGTGCTTCAAGACGGTATTTTTATTTTTAAAACAGCAAATAAAAAACATTAAAAGGTACCGACATAAAATCAACGCCTAAAGAAAATGTTCTTAAATTGAAAATCTGATTGATTTTTTTTTTTTTGCTATTTTAAAGGCTAACTTTGGTCAGCATTTGTTTATTGTTAGCAATCATTTCTAACAATTAGCTTTCTCTGGGCTAACTTTGGTTGTGTTTACACCTGTTTGTATTGTTAGGTTAAGCCTGGTGGAGCAACACCGTTACTGCAGGTCAAACATATAAGACGGCCACGGTTTACTCCAAGGCGTGCGACAGTTAGACCGCATATAAAACCATGATTTTATTATTATTCTTATTTGTCATCGCTAATCAAAATAAAAACATGTTGACACAAGATTATTTGATTGATAAAGAAGTCGGAGGCCCTTTTATTTGAGCCACTGACCCCCAAAGTGTTCCTCGCCCCTGACTTTCAGTCATCAATGTTTTTCTGCCATTTTTAATTTGGATTTTTTTTTCTTTACTGACAGCTGTGTCTGATCCATCCGTGGAAAATAACTTCTCTTCCCCGTCGTAACAAAGCACCTTTTTCATTATGCCCACTGTATGACTGAGCCATCACTTCATATTACAGGTCAGTGTTGCGGTGCTTAATTATGTGGCGGCTGCTGGAGGCTCCTAATAACCTGTCATTGAGGGGAATTTGAATGTCACACCATATTGTTGGGCCCTAATGGCAGCGGGCAGATCCACTGATGAGCCGTTTTGGGACAATTACAGAGGATATTCAAATCACAGGTCTGCAGAACACCTGACATGGGCCCACCAATGGCGTGCACGTGAACACACACACACACACACACTTGTTGTATCCTGACCCTGGAACACACCACCCCCACGTCCCCTGCCACATAAAGCAGCCGCCCCTCCTCCTCCTCCTCCTCCTCCTCCTCCTCTGCCGCTGAAACTCTTTAACTGGAGCCTGATCGTTTTTATTATCCTCCTAATCCAGATATCAGCGATTTCATCAGGCCAGGAAGATATGCATATCATGAATTATTTTGACACTGGGACCTTTTAATTTTCGCCGGCAATATTTCATCTCACCAATCAGTGCCTGGAGTGGTTGTCGCCCAGCGGACGAGTCTGTGTCACAGGACGAGGCTCCTCTGGTGGACCCAAATCATCCAGGGACAATAATGAGCTATGGCCACAATTATCAGCTCTCTGGGCACATACGTACGTGTGTGTGTGTGTGTGTGTGATTGCAAGAATCTCATCTATGTCTCATACCACCATGCTGCTGCTACTACTACTGATATTGGTGTTTATATAAAAAGAAATTGTTGACGATGATGATGATGATGGTAGTGACTAGTGTTATGATGAAGATGAGGCTCATGATCAGGTTGAGAAGATGATGATGATGATGATGTTTAGAATGAGAGGATAACGATAGTAGTGATGGTGATGAAAAGGGTTATGATGACGATGAGGAGGATGATGATGATGACAAGGAGGGGCATCATAAGGATGATGATAAGAATACAGATGAAGAGGACGATGATGAGGAGGAGGATATTGATGAAAGTGAGGAGGACAACGATGATGACGATGATAATTAACGTGAGGGTCAGAGTGATGAGAACGACGGCGTCATCAATGATGAGAATGATAATGAGGATAATGGTGTGGAAAATACTGAGGATGTGATGAAGATGAAGATGAAGACCAAGATGATTAGAACAAAAATGACACTGATCGCAGTGATGAACATGATGATGATGATGATAGAGATGAGGAAGATGCTGATGATGAATATTTTGAAGGTGAAATGTTGTTTTATTAAATTACGTACTAAATATATCTTCAATATCATTAGATTATGGATGAAGGAAATTAAATAATGATTTGCAGCAGAATCAACACAGAGATCAGTCACTACTGAAATATTTCACCGTTCAGTGAGTTATAGATCAAGTCATTCCTTCTTTCTCTGACTTCACACCTCTTCACATGTCACAGTCCACCATCAGACGCTGCCTTAAAACCCGGACTTCAGTTCATGTTCAGTTTGTAATTACTGAACTAACGATCCAGTCAGCTCTGTGGAAATGAGCTCACCGGCCACAACCACGATTAACAAGCCAGAGAAACGTACTGGCCTGAAAAAATGTGTTGTTTCACGCAGAGCAGAGTCAAACAGCAGTACTTAAAAACCCGCAGCACCAAGTCCGACTCTGTCAGTTAATACTCTGCGTCTCGACTCAGCTCCCTGTGGAGCAGGTATGACGAGGGGCTCGTGCAGTCAGTCCCTGACCTTCCCTCATCTGGGACGTTGACCCCTGGTATAAAGAGAGACATTACATCTCATTACACAACAACACAGCTCCGCTTTGGTCCAAATGGAGAAAAATGTCTCAATTAAATCTTCACCCCTGAAGAGTTATGGCCGTCCCTGTAGCGCTGATCCCTACACCTGCACATCCTGAAAAGTTATTTGACATAAATTGCAGGAGTCACATCATTTACCGCCACACTCTGAGCGGGATTTACGGCTAATCCCATTGACTGGGAGCTGAACCACCAATAAAATTCCTCGAGCCTAGGGGGCAGAGACGCACCTACCCCACCTCCCATCAGGCCTTTCTCTCTCTGCACAGATTAGCCATGCAAACACACAGGTGGTGGTAGTGTGTGTGCGAAGGGGGGGTTCTGTCAACACATTCCTGAACGTACATGCAACTGAGGCCCAGGCTGGATGAGGACGAGGACTGTGCAAAAAAAAAACCCACATCCTCACTGTGTTTTATATGATGAGTGTCTCTAGTGGACATGTGAGAGAAACGTATTCTATTGTGGAATTCTGTCTTTGCGTTTGGAAAGATGATAAAATGATCTTCACATTTTTTTAGATGTGATGGATTTAGGATTCAGGAAAACTGTGAAAACCTGATCCTGGAATTTTAATAATTGTTACTTCACACTGATCAGTTTGGCACGGCTCGCAACATTTCTAAATAGTTCTTGACTAATTAATAAGTCAGTAAATCAACAAATATTGATAAATCTTTACTAACAAATGTTTGTTTGATAATTACAGCTATATTAATATATCTTTAAGACTGGATCTGATCTCACCAAAGTAAAAACAAAAAAAAAATTAAATTTGTTTTTCAGCTATTTCTATAACACACATGTTGAATTAATGTATTGACATAAATGTTAGAGAATTAGCATGAGAGGGCATGAAATAAAATCCAAAATATATAGGCAAAAAAGATTTAGGAAGTAAATTCAATTCAATTAATGCTGAGATTTCAGATATTCCTGAACATCAAATGTAAAAAGTCTATGGTGCTGCACATGAGGAGGTCTGTAAATTACCCAGAGCCCAGGTGTGATGAATAATTACCTCATGATCTGAATTAATTAATTGACATTTTTTGTGAGGAAGTGAAGATTAAACAATCCTGATACCTTCAGTACTTCAATATGGTTGGAGCAGTGAAGGCCTCCACTCCCTCTGGGCACCGTGCATCACAGAGAGCTCACAGCAGCAGCAGCAGCAGCAGCAGCGGTGGTGGTGGTGATGGTGGCTGCAGGGCCTCCAGCTGGGGCTGGCTGCTGCCTCTGCTCGTCTGCACCAGCACCGGGGCCAAGGGGGAGGTGGTGGACGAGCGACAGAATTGCCCCGGGGCATCTCACTTCTGCAGCAGTAAAGAAAACTGAAATGCTCTCTCTCTCTCTCTCTGTGCTTCTGTCTCTACAAAGAGCGGCTGCTCCCCTCAGAGGGACAAATTTGGCATTGAAGTGAAAAGTCTGAAAAAAGTCCCGATTTGACACAGAATCATTAGAACCTAACAATAAGTCACATAAGTCAATAAAGAAATAAAAACCAGCAGATACATTTGATTTTGAGTTTATATTTGTTTGTTCGCAGAGTGTTTGGGAATCTACAGTACATTATATTACAATTGATGACAGGTGACGTCTGTACATGTGACATGGAGGAGGACTCTTTTTGTAGTTCCTGGTCCGCCCGGTGACAGCAGCTGAATCCAAGGGACACTTACACTTTAACACTCAATGCAGTGCACAGATTAAAAACGTGTTGTTTTATGTAGTATGAGCCGAGAGGACAAGACAGGACGACAGTTCAGGGATGGACTGTGTGCAAATGGACGAATCGTTTTTAATACTGACGGTCTTGGATTATATTGGTTCAAGCTGTCATATTTATCTGCTGCTTCCCAACTGTGGTGAGTTCAAACAATGCCAAAAAAACAAAACAAACCAAAAAAAAAAAAAAATCAATTATTGCTTTTTCCAGAGAACTGCACCGACCGTCCAATCGCATCAGTTTGACCTCAAATGACTGTGACGTCTCTGCACGGATGGAAACAATGAAAATGACTTGGTCAGCATCGTGTAATGAACGTTCCTGACACCCGTGTGAGTTAGTCACATGACTGTAGTAGCAAAAACAAACACTGAAACTGTAACAGTGGTGACATCATGTGAAGGTAAGTTTTAGCAAAAGATGAGGGAAAAAAAATTCTTATGCCTGAGACTCAGGCACCATTTACAAAATGTACATAACCACGCCCTTAGTCAATACTACTGATGAGACTGTACTGCTGTGTGTGCGGGTGGGTGTGTGTGTGTGTACACTAGTGATGATCTTTGCTAAAAAAGGACACTGCTGCCAAAACTAACAACTGATAAGAAGCGGGTCTGAAACCCTGTAAAACCTGGGCAGAAGTTCAGAAACTTAACAGGTTTGTCTTCTTTGTGCTGATCTAAAACTACAGAGAACCGTAATGCTGAGAGTAGAGAGGTAGCCTCCAACGAAATCTGTGCAATTAACACAAGGAGCTGTCGGGCAATTCCCGCCGCCACCAACACTGCAGGACAACGTCTGACTCTCGATGTACTAAAAATATCAATCTGGGGAGTCCTGAAAAAAACCCAGCCAACTCCAGTTTCTGCACGCAACAGTCTTCTCAGTGTGGCCCAGGGGCGGAATGGGCCGCAGCCTTGTGCTGGTGTCTACTTTTTCTATTTCTACTGAACGAATAAGCCACAGGTGAAACAGCAAAACTGTGACACTCAGCAACTCTCAAATCATCTGAATCAACAGCGAATAAATTATAATTACAATGTGATGGCAAATAAAGGCACACACATACACGACAACCGCAAAGCTAGGCATCAGGCTAAAGAAAAAGAAACAAAATGGCACAAAAGATTTAAAGCATGCTTAAAAATATCTGATGATGGGCAAAAAGTAGAATCTGTATTTTGGAAAGTTTTAGAAAAATGTTAGTATTGGAAAGAATTACATGTTTAGATAACAAGGCTGGAGAAACTGAGACAAAAAAACAAACAAACAACCTCCCATTTCTATGTATCATCAACCAAAGAACACCGTAACACACCTGCCACCTGTCACCGCTCTCACTACCACGATGCTGAATGCTATTTGGTTTTCGGCTGGTTTTAAGATCTGTGTCTATGTTTTTTTATATACAAGTATATGGTTGTACACGTACAGCCTGCAGTGATGTTTGGACCTCAGTATATACACGATTTATGACACTCGGGGGTCCAGCGGTTGTCGGCCTCTAAAGTGAGTGCATCGCAGAGTAGACTGGAGACTAGATAAGTGTATGGCTGAGGCAGAGCGTAGTCCAGTAGCAGGCTGAAAGATACTAAGGCTGGAAGCTGGAGAGGAAAAAACAAAAAACAAAACAAAAAAAAAAGAACTTTAGGGAGTCAGAAGACAGGAAGTGGTCACCAGTAAAAAGAGCGGGTCAGGAAGTTGGCGGCCGTGCTCAGCCAGCCGATGCCCTCCGTCATGGAGCCCACACGCTGCACTGCCTTGTCCTGCTCCTGTGACGGACTGTCCTCCTCAGGCAGGTAATCAGGGATGTCAGTGTTCTCCTCCACCTCCACTGAGGAATCCTCCTGGAATGGCACGATCCGCTGCACACAGACCAAAATAATAATGTTTTTAAAAAAGAAATAAAAAAAATAATTGTTTTAATCTAAATTTTTCCAAGCCACCTATTTATAACCTTCTGGGAATTAAGTCAAATAGAGTGAAATAACAGGATCAAATACCAATCATACGTACAGAGTGCACATAACTTGGTCAGGTCTGACCCCTGCTGGCCACACTGTATATAACTCAATGCAATTTTGAAACTGACTTGCAATATTTTATTAAATTTGAAAAAAGGTGTTTTTATGTCTAAATTCAGTATTTTCCAAACTCACTTCTCCTCCATTTTCGGTCCTCACGATCTGCTGAGCCTTCATGACTTTGGTGGAGTTGATTGCTGAACCCAGGGCCTGTGAAAACAACAACAGACATGTCAGTCATTCAAGCCACTGTTCTTTTTTTGTACAAATTACAAATTCTGTCCAAGCCACTGTTCTTTTTTTGTACAAATGTTCTGTTAATGCTAAATATGTTTAGTGGAAGTTAAAAAAACAAGTGCCAGTGTGACATTGTATTGATCCATTTAAACTTTATCTACACTGAACATTTCACACACAGGGTTTTAGATCAAAGTCCTTCACCAGGATAAAGACGGTGGACGTCATCTGACCCACTCTGCACACATGACCAACAAGTACAGCAAATAAAAGTAAAACAACACAAGATAAGATGTTGGTTAAAATGCTGAAAACAACACATTTTGTACAGCGATAATATTCAGGTAGGATTTTTTTTTTGTAAAAATATAACCAAGTAAATGTGACAATTTCTGCATAAAAAAGTTACATTATAAATAGTTTAATCACAAGTAATAAATAAAAAACTGATCCTAACAGAATGATGATAATACTTATTGAATAATATATTTCTACTGTTGTATCTACAACTATTATTATTGTACAATACTAAAATACATGCACTATTGTTACTGTCTGTCCTACTGGATGTTTTTTCCTGAACACTGCGGCCCACGTACCTCTGCTTTAAGGTCAGAGCGAATCCTGACGACACATCTTTTGACAGCCATCTGGAAGGTGAAGCTGATGACCCCACGGATCTTGAGCAAGGCCTCCTCGCAAAGGCTCCTTCGAGTCTGACGAGGCGACGGACCAGAACCAGGTAACAGGTTTCGAGGGGACGCGGGGGGAGGGGAAAAACAAGGCCAGGAAGTCATACGTTTAGAAACAACCATGGCTTTGAGTAGAAAACTCTAGAATCAAGGAGCTTCACATCAACAGAGAGGCTCGAAGAACAGCAGAAAGATGTATTCACGTTATAAAAATATAATGTTAAATGTTCAGCTGTGAGGTACAACGTGTTCCAGTGTAAACAGGAGTTTGCCACAGTGATGCCTGTTTCTGTTGAGGTGACAGTAATGCAGCCCACCAGAGGCCGTCTGTCTGGTGTAATGTAATCTGGCTATCTGCAGATTTCCTGCGGAGCAGCATTCAGGTTCAATCTCCAAGTCCTGCTGTTCAATTCCTGACATTTAAGATCTGACACCGCCCACCCTCCAGTGCCCCATGCTCCACAGATACACACCACCAACATGCTTCGCGTGGGTGAGAGTTGCAGAAAACGCCACGCTCACAGATGGAGATTTTGGTGCACGTGTCAACCAAGTTGACCTCTGTGCGAACGGAACACTTACGGAGTCGTCCAGTCCATCGATGTGCAGGACCACGGTTTTGGCTCTCTTGTTGTTGGAGCCTAGAAAGAACTGGGCTTTACGCCGACAGGAGGCAGCGGCGGCATCTGCCTGGGCGGCTTCTTCTTTACCAGCTGACTGCAGAATCTCATAGATCTCTGAGGCCATCAGTTTGGTCTCCCCTGGAGACGTGGTCCTAAAATATCACACAGTTAAAAATCAGTATCCAGTGAAAATATGATCTTTTTTTATTTAATGAGTAAACAGCATCTTAAGGATGAGTGATTCTGACTTAATAAAGGCCTTTTCAGAGTAAAACAGACACACAGCTGAGACGCTGCTCCCGGCGGGAACAACAGATGCGTGCAACACACAGTAAAACACTACAAACATGTGCTGTGTGCCTCTGGCTTCATGCTAATTAATTGTATAATTCAGACTTTAGCTGCAGAAAAAAAAGACTAAGCATATTTTAGTTGACAGTACCTGACAAAACCACTTGGGGTCAGCTGTAGCCTTAATGCCACAACAAATATGTGGTATGGGTTTGTGGGATATGTCTGCGGGCTACGCTGCTGTAGTGTCACAAAGTCACCGCTGCTCTTATGGTGACCATATCTGACACATCTGTCTGCTGTTACTGTCTCTGCTGAGTTTGGTGCTTTGTGCCACTTTAATATGAGACCAAGGGCAAACACACAAACCACTGTCAGTCACTGGTAGGAATGTAACAATGCATTGTGAATTAGGGTACAATTAAGGTATTTTGCATTGTTCTTTTGAATTGAGTGTTGTTTTGAGTCATAATTTCAAATTTAAAAAATTGTAGAAGTTGAGTGTATCCTTACCCTAGTTGCTGGCCTTTCCCCCACCTCTTTGTTAATGACAAACAACAAACATTTAGCCGTACTGCCAGTGACAAAATCCCACACTAATGAACAGCAGAACTCATCAAGTAATTTGTTGCTGGGAGGCAGGATTTATAATAAACTAGGTCACACAGACACCGCAATTTAACTGGTTTCTGGGTTTTTTTCCTAAATCATCTTTGATTACATTCATTCATGACATTTCCCTGACTGACATGATTTATAGACAAAACATTGTTGCAGGAAACACTGAAGAAGTCCTGGGTTATGGATTGATGTAACGAAAGTGCAAAGTGTATGTATGTTGTGATGGTGACAGAAACTTGCTTCTGCATGACGTTCTGCAGACTCAGCATCATGCCCAGCTCGTCCTTCATCTTCTCCCTGTTGGCTCGACATTCTGCCAGGTAGCGCACGGCCTGCAATCAAGAGAGCAGAGGGTTTCTATCCAGCAGTTTAAGTTCACTGCATCAGTTTAGTGACATTTTGTAAAAATAATAATTTAATGGCATCTATCACCACTTAAATGCATGCAAACCTCACAAGCCTCAAGCTCATGTTTTGAAGCGGGTCTGTTTCTGTAGCTGTCTGTCCATAGCAATAATATTACAGTATGTGGGGCTTGAAAAACCCAGTGATAAAAACCAAACATGTAGAAGAAGAAGAAGACAAACTAATAATTTTAATGAAAACAACTATTTAATTTAAACTGATCGCAACATTATTTTAAATAAAAAGCTAAAAGGTTATTGTGGATACAGTGAACACATTTAGTTATGCTTGTTGAGACAGTGTCATGGTCAACAATGTGAAAAGTTCAGTTGTTTTTAGTAGTTTGCTCAATGTCAGTCTAATGAACAGAGAGATGGCAGTAAATGGTGCTCACCAATAATGCAGAGTAGACGACCTGTGGGTTGGGATGATCTAGGAAGAGGATGAGACCAGGCAGACAGCCCTGGTCCTCAACTATAGCTCTGCGGTTTAGAGGGTCTGCTGCAAGGTCTCGCAGCTGGTTCACCACAGTCAGGGCATCCAGCTCCGCACTCATGGTGCCTCTTTCCTTGATGCCACGCTCATCAAACCAACCTGCTCACTTAACTGAAAGGTAACAAAGTGGAAAACAGGAACAATCACTTTAAATAACATATTCAGACTAATTGGAGTGTTAGTTTAATATTAAATTTTAATTAATCCAAAGGTGTGTTTAAAGGTGATCCGTGTAGGGTTTCACACCTCAAGTGATTAAGTTACATGTTAGAGTTTAGTCAACCTCACCTCAGTTTTCCAGTCTAAGCATGCATGGGATCATTGAAACACAAAGGGTATTTATTTAATGTTAAATAACAGCTGCTTTAAAAACTACGGATGTGACATCAGTGATAGAATTGGCTTTTATTTTATTGGCATAAAGTAAAGAAAAACACAAACGAAAAATGTATCTGTAAATCAACGTTTAAGTTTCAATTAGATCAATTATTTTAAAATGCGTTTTTGTTTTTACTACTAGACAAAAAGTAACTACAAAACGCATTTCTAGTACGGTTAGAGCAAAATGTCGCACCTTTGTTTGATTAAAAAATGGGGAAAAAACCCATTATGCTTCAAAGGATGTGTACTTGTTTGAAATTCATTGTAAACCAGGGACTCGGCTGTACTTCGCTGTCACGCAGGCTCAAATGGCTTAGCCTACGTTGGAATTCCAATCCTAAAATCCGTCTGGTTTAAAACAATTGCGTTTGCTGTCAAAGGGCCATAGTTATTTTGTTGAACCGAAACACAAACTTCGGTTTGTGACAAAGACGACTTCTACGACCCCCAACCTAACCTTAAAACACGCCCTGACACACACGCACACAGTAGTCGGCTGCTAAAGCTAAGCTAAACTGAGCAACCGCTGTGTGACCATTACAACATACCTTTATCTTCGTTTCTGTAAAACCATGAGACAACACCGCCTGGCTTCACATTCACGAGATGTTAAAAGAGGCAAAAGCAGAAAGTTGACGTCTGACACTCTAAAAACAAACTGTGACACAAAAAAAATATGTGTCGGGAAAAGGCCTGTGTCCCTTTCTTTGCTACGGTTCTTTTCAGCTAGCAGCTGAGCTCAGTGTTTGGGTTTTTGGTACGTCAAAGGGTGCAGTTGTTTTGTACAAATGGGCGTCCCAGTTTCAACCGAGGAGCTTAACGGTGTAATAATACACTGCACTACCGGGGGATTCAGATAACTACATCTAACATACACACAAGTCCTAGTATGTGATAGGACAGTGTTGCTTAATTGACAGATACAAGGCCTAATCACTAGGAGGTAGGTGGTCAGTTTAAATGACAACTGTGATCGGTGGTTTCCGCTGTCAATTACATAAAATAACCAATAGAATGCTTACATGGATATAACCTATTCTATATTCAGAATGTAATTGGCCCAAACTTTTTTGCCATTCGAGTCGCTTCCCGCAGCAGAAAGCCAACAAGGTGGAAACTTTCAGAAAGTTGTCAGTAAACGTGTAGCCTGGTGAGCTGGTTTCGAATTCACATATAGCCTTGTTTGATTTTTCTTCTGGTTTAAGCAATGTTGTTGTCGCGCTTGGATTGTTCTTAATTGAATGTTATTCCAGAAGAAATGTGTTTAGTAGTTTAGAGTTAGCGTCTATTAGCTTCACCGCTCGCTAAAGTTGTGATTCAGTCATTAGCATAGCATGTTAGCCTATGCATAATATTGTGTCATATTTTGACATTTTACAACATTTTACATGAGGAAGTGTACTAGACCCGCCCAATGTCTGTAGGTGTACATCAGATTAGCTGAGATACTGTTGTTTTTACAAACCGCTGTGTGGATTACAAATATTAAGAAATTTGTATCAAGTATTTCTGGTTGGCTAAAATTTTCTTCATACACCTTATAGTTTGATTCTTTTAAACAACCTTACTTTTTCACAGTTGCACGACATTTTTATTATTTTATTCCAGAAATTTTAAACACAACACAAAGATGGTGATTTAAAAACCACCTGAAGAGTATGCATTATGGTAGATGTAGTTTATGGTAAACAAAAACCTGATTAGACTTGGAGTTTAAAACTGAAAATTGTGAATTACTTGCCATGCATATGTTACATATACCCAAAATGACCAGTGGATTTAACCCATCCAATAAACTACATGGTGGCCGGATTTGGCCCACGGGCCTTGAGTTTGGCATATGTGCTGAACAGTGTGTCGGTAAAGAAATAATGATGTTCTCTTGTTCTGTGACACACTTAGATGACCATCAGGTGATTTCTTTGGTGTTCAGTCATGTGCCAACCAGCTCCTGTGAAACACACCAACAGAGATGAGTAAAGACTATGGTCATATGGAAATGGACTTGGTGAGTAGGAGACACTCAGACCATTTAGCAGCGAGTCTGAAACAGCAACTTTAAAATGATGCATTAAGTCGAAGGTCAGATTTGATTGTAACCGATGTATAATTTATCTTTTAGTCATGACCTTGATATTCCAGTGTACTTTCTTGTGCAGGTCCTTGGAACAGCCAAACCCTATGGGTCTTCAAGGAGTATCGTAAGGAGAATAGCTACAAATCTTCCTCTTAATCCCTGCCCCAGGATTCATTTTCAGGTGTGGGAAATTCATGTGTCATCCTTTTTGATACCAATTAATTACTAAGTCTTTGATGTACTCTGAGGGTCAGATAAATATATGTTTTCCTCTTTAGTTTTCAGATTGTTTTTCTTGATTCCTTACATCATAGCTGCAACTTTTCTCTCTGCCTGTCTGTCCATGTGCTGACATCACTGACACGTGACAACAGTCTCACACCCTCGTCGTCTCATGTTTACTTTTCACCCGTCTGACTGTTTTCCTTTTTAAACCATAAACAGAGCAAATGAGGGTATTGAAACTGGGGTATATTTTTGCTACACTTGTTCTGGAGTTTACAGATCTGTCTTTTGTCATGTGTATGAATTCAGTGGCACCTTGTTTTAATAACAAACAATCTGGTCCCTTTTCTGTCTCTAAACTCTGTGTTTTCTCTTTCTCTTGTCTCCTCTTGTCTACAGCCTCCTTCCATACCTCACTATGAGGAAATGCAGTATTTCTGCTTTGGGTCAGTTTGTTCAAAAACCTTCAGCTAACTGAAGACCAGCATGTTATGGCTGTTACTTTTTCCAGCATAATGAACAAGCAGTAACTTCTCTTGTGCTACCGCAGAGGCATTAGTAGCAGGCATGTCTTGTAGATCTATTTAGAAAAAATATATTTTGACTTTAGAAACTTTGCATGTCAACAACAAAATAACAAATTAAAGTTATTTTAATGATTAGGTCAAAAAGGTTGTAAGTTGTATTTAAAAATTGGAAAATTCAATGTTTTACTGTGATTTCTTTTTTCAGTTAAAAGTTCTGCTACATGTGAATCTGGTCTTTTTGTCTGACAGCTGTATCCGTACACTGAAAGTGCTGGTATCCTGATTGGCTCCAGGAGACAGAACTTTGAAGTTGCCTCTCTGGCTGATATCAGCTGGATCGACGAAGAAGAGGATGACGACGAGGAGGATGTAGGTTACTCCAGCCGAAATAGGTAAGAATGATCCTAAAACTGTGTATTAGGAACTGAGAGCTCAGGACGAAGAGTTTAAGATGTAGTACATGTCCTGTATCATGTCCTTTTTTTTTTAAATTATTGCTCTTACCAGGAGATCGGGAATTTCCTCTGGACTTGTGTTCCGAGCCCGTCAGCCACACCCTCAGAAAAAAACTCTAACTCGCCGGAGGTCACTGCCAAGCCTGCACCAGGAGGCTCAGGACCCCCAGGGTCCATCAGCTGCCAACGATGAGGCCATTCAGAAGATCAGTGCACTGGAGACAGAACTAGCCAAACTCAGAGATCAGATAGCACAGATCGTGTTGGCTCAGGAGAAGAGCACGCAGCCAGGTATGTCCTCACACTACACCCATCATTACTGCTCAGCAATAACACAGCACGTCCTCTAGATGGCGACAGCGGCACACACATTGCTTCAATACTCTTTTTTCATTTCAACTATCACAGCAGGACCACCTCCTCCTCCACTTCCTCCAGCACCCTCTGGTACCCTTCCTGCCCCTCCTCTACCACCTCCTCCTCCTCCTCCTCCACCACCACTACCACTGCCCTCAAATCTTCAGCGGACATTTTCAGCTATAGATTTAATTAAGGAGCGAAAAGGGAAGAAGGCACAGGGACAGACGGTGGTGGAGTCAAAGGCAGCAGAAATCCCCAACATGCTCGATGTCTTGAAGGACATGAAGAAAGTCAAATTAAGATCGGTCAAAAGGTGAGGCTCCACCTAAAGTCATAAAGAAAGAGGGATTTGGCCGTTACCAGAGGTGTTTGGTGAACAATGCTGCTGCTCCTTGTTTTTTTTTCAGTCGTCCTGTGGAAAACGACACCAAAATTAAGCCTGGCGAGCAGCCAGATGCAGCGTCTCTCATCGCAGAAGCCCTGAAACGCAAATTTGCTCATCGGTACCGACACGACAGTGGACAGGAAGAAAGAGAAGAATTCAAACTCCCCATTCCAGAAGTGAAGCCTCAAAGTGAAACTCTTTTGGTGAGAGATAGTTAATTATTATTCTCTAATACTGAGCTAGTGTGTATACACCTCCTGCACCAAAGGGGGGGCTATAAACAGAGTTCCCATACACCCAAGTACAACCAGCTGTTGCAATAATATGGTTGACCTGCTAAAAACTAGTGCAGAGCGCCACTGCTGTGTGGAGCTGTACACCTTTAACCACAGTGTACCAGGCTTACAATACTCAGAAACTATTGTTTAAAAAACTTTCCAGTTAAAGTTCACACTAAAGTTATATTAAAGTCTTAATTTAAAAGAAAATGTATTTTTAACCTTATTCTATTTTTCTTTCCAGTTTGGGCAGCACATGTTGAGATCAACTGGAAAAAACAAGTTGCTCTGAAGAGTTGCTGTCTCTGGAACCTTTTCTTAGAGCCTTGTCAACAACTTCTTCTTCAGACGTCTCCTTGTAAAGATAAGGGACTACATCCGACTACATCCATCTGTAACCGCCGTCTCATCCAGTCATCCATGTGTTTTTTGCACCTTGATAACGTACGTTGGCTTCTTCTTTTAGGAATCAAACGTTGACTTGTTTAACTGAATGTTTTGCTATCACACCAACACACACACACACACACTAAACCAACACTATGGAGCATTTTAAATTAGTTCAGTCTTTTGTCCTTTGTATCCGTATTAAACTTTTTGCACGTCATCGACGGTCAGCTTCACATTCCTGTTTTTATTGTTCAGTGAATTTTGATGATTTTTCCAACCACGGGGAAAGCGAGCACTTTCTCACTCGTGGGATTATGTTGTCTTGTTTATAACTGATGCAGATTTATGGACTAATTTATGACAGAATCCACTTATTTATGTTGTGGTTAAAGTAAAGCTTTTTATTTCTAACAATTAATTTTGCCTTTGATTATTGCATTACGTTTTGTGTATGTCTTTGCCTAGATGTAATTTTTTGTTTGTTTGCAGGTTTAAATACTTTGTTCAGTTTTAGACCGCCATGTTGGACATTTTCACATTCCCATTTGAATTTCCTTTCCAAAGTGATAACTGTTAAACAAAGGTCAGGGTTTGGTTTATTGACACTACAGGGAGATATTCAGTGTTCGGTTTCTTTATCAGTACCTCATGATAAGACTGACCTCTTATTGCAAAACACTTGAAGCAACATTTAGCATAATGTGTGTTAACTCACATCTTCAGTTCTTTTTAAATAGAACCCATTAAAAAAAATAAACACTTTTCTTTGTTTTCCAAAGGATTAAACCCCCAGTGTTCGTGTCAGTAATGATCAGATTAGCATAGCCACACGACACGAGTCACATCAGCTGTTACTGTTCACAGAAGTATTTTCTTCCTTATTGACTGATTGCACATTTTTACTTCTACTCACGTCAGTGAAGTGGCTGCTTTAAATCAACTCACTCATTAGTCAACAAGGGGAAGGTGGACTATGTGTCTGCTGACTTTCACCAATGTACGCATGTTGTTTTAAAGTTTGTAAAAGACGTGTCTACCATGAAAATGTACTTGAATTGTCAAGTTTGAATAAAAGTTAATGGTCAGTTCTTACTCGCTGTGAAATTCAAGTATTGTTAATGTCTGTCCCACACATCAGGAAATCAGCCCTGTGGCCAAAGTGTCTGGTTACTTTTAATGCAGTAATTGAACACTGAATTGACAATTGGTGTGGGTGTGAGCATGAACGTTTTGTGTCCATGGTCCTGACATGGTCTGATCACTATCGGCTATTAGCCCAATAGCTAAAAATTACTAATTAAGAATTAGCATTAGCACTGTAAATTTTTGGCACTGTGCTCAGCTCTCTTTTGTCCTTTGTCTCGTCTCGTCTTCCCTCGCCTTTACAGGTCTGGGTCACAGAGACGCTAGTTTCAGCAACAGAACCCAGACACTTTGTTCTCTGTTCCCTCCACCACCTCCTCAGTGAGAATATCTAAATGTGACCAGGCCAGCTGGGAGACGGGTTCCCAGGTCACCAGGTGGCTATGCCTGAAACTCCTCCTGCGGTAGGCCTCCAGGTGGCACAAATGACCAAATGTGTGTAGCGCCTTCAGGAGAATCGCTGGCTCTACTCTAAGTGTTGCTCTGATGTGTGAGCTTTCTTCATCATCTTAAAGGCAGCGTCCAGCCACCCTGCAGTGTTTACCCATTTCTGCCACTGTAATTTGCCCACTCATTTCTTCCATTACCAACAGCTCTTTGGTAAAGTTAGTAATCTGTGATCTCAGAGCTGTCACTCAGCTCCACAGGTTCAGCACCTGCATCACTGCCCTGATCCATCAACCTTACGTTCCATCTTACTCTCACACATGAGCAAGATTAGTTACATGCAGAGGTAATTGCTCATTATAGACAGTAGGGGCAGATCATTCACATCCATCATCAAACCTTCACTCTTAAGAAGAACTGCCAATAACAACAAACCAGATATTCAGAAATAGAACATCCCACACCAATGGCTCAAGCACTTCAACGACCATCAACATCATCCTAAAGCAGTTGCCCCCAACCTTGGAACCATCGACAAACGCAGTGTTAAAAGACCCTCATGTTAAAATGAAAAACCAGACTTCTGCTTAAAATGGTACTAAACCTGAGGAGCTATGCTGACATGGACAACTAGGACTTTGTAGGATCACTGAAGGCAAACCGGTTCCTGTTGAGGAGCCATTAAAGGGTAAAGAAGACCCTCAAGTCGTCAAACACCTGACAGACTTGGACAGAGATGTTCCTCCGCAGTCGTCAAACACCTGACAGACTTGGACTTGGACAGAGATGTTCCTCCGTCTTCCAAGAGACTTTCTACCTGCAGGAGAAATCAAAATGGTTAATTCAACCACAGAACATCACTGAATGAAATAACTTAAAAATTATACATTTACCATGTTCAGATGTTCAGATGTTTAGTAGGCAGCTCCACACGCACGGGTTCCTCGTTCTTACTATGCACAGATAGAAATGACCTGAAAAGTCAAAGGGACATTTGCCGACACTGCACACACTTGGACGGCCTGGAGGTGGAACATTTGTCAACAACAGGGTTTTATTATTCAAATTGGAACTGCAACAGGCATGTATCAAAAATGTCAATACAGCAAAGCTCTTACAAAATCTGGCTCGACACTTAAGTCTTCCCAAAAATGGCTGTCGCAACAAATTGTAAACAGTTTTATCAACAGTCTTACAGCACTTACAGCGAAATACAAATCAGCTAAAGTAAGAAAAGCACCTGTTATCGTTCAAAAGGTTTCAACACAAACACAAACTTGTGCCACTGTACAGAATCAGAGTTGACAAACCAAACGCAAAGAAATGGAATGTTCCGAGTCACTCGAGCATTTTGTTTCAGTACAAAATGAAATTATAATAGAATAATAATAATAATAATCATTGAATAAAGGAGAGCTGGAGTTGTTCCTCACAACAAAAAGGCCAAGGGATGGGACAGTGCATTCAAGGACAAGCACACCATGCACTTGATGGGAACAGGAGTTGGTTTGGTCACTTAGCATAGTTTGTGCATAGTTATAAGGCATCAGTCGAGCAGTCCTTTAGGTTGCATGTGGCTGTGAGAGACATTCTGTGGAGGAAAAGTTTCCTTCAGTAGATCCTAGCCTGAAAAAAGGACAAACAAACAAAGGATACACACGTCGCCCTCAGTCTACTCCTCTCTCTCTCTTTTTTTTCCTCTCTACCTCTATGTCTTCACAAAAAACTGGAAAACCCTGAGCGAGTTGAGTTGGGTCGAGTTCCAGTTGAAATACAAGTTCAGCCAGCACTGAAACGTTCAGAAAGACTCAACAGAAAAGGGCAAACTTTCTCAGGATGTTCTGGGAGACAGCTTGAAGGTGGAGCTGCGACTCCACCTGCAGCACCACCGCCACGACCGCCACGACCGTCTGGGAGCGCTTTTCAGCAGAGGTGGAGTGACTTATGGCATCGGGTGGGTTTGAGTAGGATTCTGCTCATGGCTTCAACAGTGGGATGACAGTTCACACCAGTGGTTCTTCACGTCTGTGTTTCGAAAGGCAAAACCGTCGAGCCGTGGGATTCTCTTCAGTTCCAGGAGAAGAAAGGACGATCAGGAGATGCGTAAACAGTCTTCAGAGAGGCAGCAAAAGGACTGGGCTTGTCACATTTGTTTTTCTTTCTTTTTTTTTTCTTCTTTTTTATACATGAGGAAGAATTTTTCAACACAAATGCAACATGGCATTACTAGAAAAGTCTGAGGAGGGTCTCGTGTCTGAATACTCCAGTTGTCTCAGTCGACTCAGTTCAGATCGTTTTTTTTTTATCTTTGTTTTCAAATGGCACTTCAAAAATACCAGCAAGTGTTTTTCTCCACTTCTTATACTGCTTTCCCCCTAAGGTTCACCAACAAAGGAAGTGTTGTGTTCAGTCAGTAATGCCAAACCTACAGTGGACAAATAAATAAAACAAAGAAAATAACAGGGAAAAAAATACAGCAGTAGCCAAATGAGGTATCTATGTATTGCTCTATGCCAAAAAAAGAAGAATTTAAACTTAAATAAATTAAATAAAATCAGTGGTTTATCGAGATGGGAGGCAAAAAGCAACGAACAAAACCAGGAGTTAGGACCAGGCGCAGCAGTGGCACGGGTACAAGGCCACTGAATGACCCAGTTCCCAGTGTGTGGTGAGGGCTTAAGGCGGGGGTCGGGGACTGTAGGAGGTCGAGGGCACGTGAGGAGCGTCAGGATTCTGTGTTTCCCTGAGGTATTTCTTTGGAGCTGCTTTCTCCTGCGGTTGTAGCTGCGCCACCGGCCGTCTCTGCGTCTGTGCCGGGTTCCCCCTCCTCAGAGGTGAGGGCTTGTTCCTGCTGCAGGCCGCCCCAGGTGGCTTTGTTCAGTCCCATGTGGCCCAGCATGGTCTGAGAAAGACGGGTGTCGGAGAAACGAGCCCACTCTGCAAACAGCGGCTCGGCCACGTACGTCATGAAGCCTGAGGAGGGAGAAGAGACAGCAGACGAAAATTTAATGGTAAATATAATTACAGCAAACAAACACGCGGTGACGGTCACAGACCTATTTGGATGTTTCCAACTGTATTAGTCTCTCTGTTGCAAAGTGGACTGACGTCAAGTTTGTGCTTCTTCTCTATGTCACCTAAAGAAAAACACAACAAGAAATACAAAATGTAAGACATCAGGTGTGAGTAGTTAAAGGAACACATTTTAGAAAATGTCAATTTTTCTTCTTTCTTTTGGCATTTGCACATTCTGAAAAGTTTACGGCGGAGAACCTTGCTGGAAGAACTCCTCTGTCACTCGTTCACTCCACTGTTTGCTCAGCTCCCAGGGTCTGCAGGGGTTACAGATGTCTGCGCACTTCAGAGCCATCTGCAGGCGCGGGTAAAAACAACAGTTGGATCAAAGGTTTGTTATTGTTGTGAAGATGAAGAGGCTGCAGCTAACAGAGCAGAGGAGATGAATCAACCTGCAGGATGAAGTGTCTGTGGCCGGCTTTACTTAAGCACAGGTTCTCCTGGTCCAGGTGCACGCGAAACCTGGTCAAATACTCATTCTGCCTGCTGATGTCTGTGGCCAAGATTAAGGAGCCCAGGTCCCTCTCCATGTTCAAGCTGTGGGGCGGGGGGCACACTGTGATCAGCAGTTTCTTAGCAGAATTGTTTCATCATTGAACTAAATGCTAATCCTTGTCCAACATACCTGTCCTCAGGAGGCAGGTGTGAGAACAGTCCTGTCTCTCTGAGGAGGCCTACCACTGATTTCCAGTGATGATTTTCCAGAACTGAGGAATTCTGTCAAGTTCAAGGAGAGACATTGAAAACGTGACTCCATTCATTCAGAGAAGAGGAGTGAGTGTAATGAGGTCCTACCCTATACAGTGAAGCTAGGTAGTGGTCAGTCTTGATGAGAAAAGGCTGATTGACCCCTGGGTGGTCCAAGTCATGGGTGACGGCTGCTATCAGTCCCAGAAGAATGTCGTAGGAGGTCAGAGAATTTGCTAGCTGCAGACATGACATTAACAGTTTAACGACTGAATACTGAAGTAAAGCTGATCTTTTTTAAAGGAGCTCAACATTTCAAAACAACAACAACTGTCCCTGCAGCAGCAGCAGCAGCACCTTGGGTTCCCGCAGGTAGCAATACATGGCCTGTGTGACATCTGCCGCATGAACAGCGTTGTGGTAGGGATTGTCACTGTGGTAGTCCTCCTGGACCATGACTAGGAACCTCCAGAGTTTGACTATATCCAGCTGGAAGAGCTCCACCAGCCCGTACTGCTTCAGCAGGTGGAAGGTCAACAGACCATTACCTGAATTAAAAAAAAAGAAAAGATGCAGCCAGATCACAAAGGGATTTTCACTGTAACGTTGTGTTCACACAGTCAAATTCCAGGAGTTCTTTTTACACTTCACAGGTTGATGCACTGACTCTCTGTCAGTACGTTTCATTAGCTCAGCTGTTTGAGATTCACCTTCAACATGTCACAACAGGTACAGAGCAGAACTGCAGTCTTCTGTAACTGAGGATCATTCTGATCTTTTAACACTGCTGTACCAGCAGCAAAGTTACTACTTTTACCATTTATTATGCCACTGCTCAAGGTGAACAGTGTGAAAACTAAACACTCGTCGTCATCACTGTTTCCTTTGTAGCAGCACTGAGAGAAAAAAAAACTCAAGTCATGTGTTCTTTAAAATAAAATACACCTAAACACAGTGTTTGTCTGTTTCCAAAATGTAGTTCAAACAGTTTTTGTGTTTATTTAAGCGACAATTATGACCGGCCAGCAGATGGCACTACTCACTGCACTTCTAACGTCAAGCTGAACAGACAAAGGCTTCTCCATTCACCTCTTTGTTAAAGCAATCAGACGAATATTTTTCAATGATTATTTTTACCTACCATTAGTCAATCTGTCAAAGAGGAAAATATCAAAATTCCAGTTTCCGACTTTTTCCAGCATGCACTAGAGAAAGGGAAGAGAGAGAAACACAGTTAGTTCACATGGCTTTTACCCTGTTCATCTGAGCCATTCATAAAAACCTGCTATGGAATTGTCAGCTTTTCACTCTTACTTTTCCATTGTTAAGTACTTTTACAAATTGGTCCCAAAAAAAATCCCTGTTTCTTGAACAAACATTTCTACAGTTTTTGGTCTGGTTCACTTTTGCTGAAGAAATGCCTCCTTTCACAGCCTAACATGCAAAGGTCGTTAAAATCTTCTTCGTTGAGTTTTTTAGGTGAACCCAATTGAAAAGAAAATATCTGGCTTTCACAGTGAGGTTACGACAAGCTATCAAACTACTATTCCCCAAGTGTCAGTGGAATCCCAGTATGAATGGAAGTCTACGGTGAACTCTGTTGTACTTTCACTGGATATTTAACCTCAGAACATTACTGAAGAGTTTTCTACAGTCCCAGGTCTTCTTCAAAAGGAATTGAAGTTGTTTATAAGACAGCTGCAGGTTCCATACTTGGGCCTGTCCAGTGTAGTCTTCATCGAGGATGTGCAGGGGGATCTGCTGGGGGATTCCTCTCAGCAGACGGGAGGAGTGGAGATACCTCTGGAAACTGAGCAGCCTGTGGACCCTCCGTTCGGGAGCAGAGCTGGCCGACTCTGAGCTGCAGCCCAACCGTGCTGCGTGCACACACACACAAACAAACAAACAAGAAAAAAAATATGTTTCACAAATGAGGAAGGTCACAATTTCCAGATTGTGTTTGTTGTAGAAGCTCATTAGGCTCCGAGAGTCACTGGGGTCGCACAAACCCGGGTGGGGATCTGACACCAGCGCAGCGATATACAAACAGTCGCTGCTGACACAGCCGCCCACTCGTGGCCCTGTCGTCTGGTCGTCACAGCAGACATGCTTTGTGCTGTCTCGTGATCTGTTTGAATAAACCATGGCTGCCATATGGCATCACACCGGCATGGGGTGTGAATCCCAACACAGTTACACTTTATTGTACGCAATGTATATTTAAAAGAGGCGTGTGTGACTGTAAAGTTGGCTTACTTTGTCACACCTATTTAGAAAGCTTTCATAAGACAAGGTTCACACTGAGACACGCCTCGGTCAATAGGTGATAAGCTGAACAAAAGCAAAGCACAAACATCGGCCAATCTTTTGTCTGTACAGCAGCAGTAGTTTGGTCAAACTTCAAAGGGTCAAACTCATCAGCTGACGGTCACACAACAAAAGATTTGTACTCACTGTGAAGGTTTCGGAAGTCGATGCACAGGTAAGGATGGGAGACTCTTCGTTCCGGTTCAAATCCAACCTGACTTCTCACTCTCACATCTCCTAGAAGAAATCGGCACTTATTTCCTCAAGATCCAAGCTGCTTTAAAAGTGTGTGTGTGTTTGTGTGAGAATGTGTCTGGGCCAAGAAGTATTTAATATCACTCTTTTGGGAATATTAACTAATATTTATTTCTGCTTTGGTGCACCAAGGATGGGTTTTACCACAGAAGAAAAAGAACATGTTCGCAATAACACAAGCGACCGTGCTGTCATTTTTAGGCTCAGGTGGCAAGAAAACATAACATTTTATTATTCTAAGCAACTGCTAATGACTATGTATAAATGTCAAAACCATACTACTGTGAATGTGACAGCATTCATTTGCCATTCTAACAAAGCAGCAGCTACAGGTTAAAGTACTGTATGTTCTTAATGTGCTACAGCGTGAGCAGCAGCAAATGCTGACATGTGAAAGAACAACTTTAATTACTGTGAATCTCAGGTTACTGTGTAAAAACCCATGTCCTAGAAGATGTTGTTCTGTTATATAGACAGCGTTCTCTAGAACACACATCTGCTGCCCACAGCACATCTAGAACCTTATTCTAAAGGCTGCAGGAACAAAATGTTCTTTGTTCTAAAGCAAGTTCAACTGCAACACAAAGACACTTGTGATAATACAAAACAATGTCTGCCAACAAACACTAACTAAACAAGTAAACATTACACACTGGACCTTAAAACAAGTGTCTGGTTCTTCTACATCCAGACAATAAACAGGGCTGAGAAAAAAATAAATAAAACAAAGTGAGGAATTATGAGATCTGATCTGAGTCACGTGTCAAGAGGAACAAATTGTTCTTCAGCTAATGGCACTCACATTACTGGTTGGAGAAAAAAACAACAAGTGAGCCCTTAATTGTGTTAAGTAGTTGCTGTATGAATCTTCTAATGGAAGCAATGACGTCAAACCCTGTGTTGCTGAAGATCAGACCTGCACAGTAATCACCAAACGCTCTGGCGTGTTCTTCATCCTGTCGCGTCCGCTCAGCCATGTGAAAACAAGATGTCAGAATCCGACGAAAGACTGGATTTGTCTTTGCAGCAGAGGCGAGCAGACCTGATGACCTGGAGCCGAGTGTTGCTCTAACACCGAGCCTTCAGGTCTTCGGCTGGTGGACATCGCACCTGACACTGAATTCCCGATTACCCCTCCTCTGTCGGTTACCTCTTGGTCATGTTTCCACGTCGGTATGCCGTGCCCTTTTTACCTCAAACACTCTGCTTTGTGTTGGATCACATTTATTCTGGCCTTTGTTTTTACCAAGGAACACCTCGTTCTCGTTGTTCTGTCATGGACACCAAGTATCGTGTAGCCAAGCACTGCAATTTGGACTTTGTGGCTTCATCCTGTTGATTCAGCTTTTTCGTCTCTAACAGGTCACCCAATCAAACTGTAAATGTATGAACAGAATGTGTGCAATCAATGGTACGGTCCATTGTCCTCATCTGTTATCCATTAACAAAGATAATAGCATCATCAAAGAGCTGTGGTTATTTTGAAAGATAATTTTAAATGCAGTTATTTTTTCTAACTAAGAATAGTTTGAAAAAATATCAAAATATTTAAATTAGATGTAACCAACTAAAGTTAAAATGTTGCAGTCACACTATGTCACAGTTTTCTTGCTCCAGCCTTTACACTGTCCTTCAGTTACTCATCTTATTAGCCACTAGACATAGTTCTGGTCAGCTCTGAACCTCATTTGTTCCACATTAGTTTAGAGGACAAATTCAGCGCTTGATTGGTCTGGTTCATGTCTACGTCCATCATCTCCCAGATGTTAGAGCTAGGGTAGAAACCACTGCTGAATGTGCAAGACCATAAGCCCTGAGGTAAAACTGGTTCACACACCAGTTTTGCTCTGCCACTATATCAAGAACTAGTCTTTATCAACCGAGCCTGAGTCCATGGGTGATGTAGCTCCATGGTCACATTAGACAACATCTTCTCTCCATTCTTTTTTCAACGTGACAAAGCCAATGGCTCATTCTGATCAAATAACAAATAAAGTCTTTCCAGGCCTGTAGTACGTGTTTGACTGGCTCCAGGTCTGTGTCCTGTTAAGTACAGTATGTTTAACACATCATGAGAGGAGAATCAGTCAACAAACACAACTGACACAAAGCAGCAAAAGTCCAATTATTCTCAGTCCCCAAATTCACAAAAAAAAAGCAAACGTTTTTGGACTGTGTGGCAGGTTTTTGTTTAAAAAATAGAATTCTTTTGGCCAATAAAAACACAGGAAGTAGTTTAAATGATGAAGAAAGAAAAGACAGACAGAGATAATCATTTTTTTTCATTACCAAAAAATACAACATTTCTGGAAATAGGCTTTGGATTAAAATCTACATCTGTGACACCATCCACGTGCAAACTATTACAGCTGCTCTGTGAGGCATCGTCTGAGTGAGTAAACTGCTGACAAAGTTAAACAGAAGAAACGTTTCGTCGCCTTTAATGTGGCTTTTATCCTTCAATTAATCCTTTGGTGATTGGACATCAGGTTTATTCCCTTTTCTGAGTCACTGAGACACTGTTTGTAGCCAAGGCTTTAAATGTTTCAACACTGTTTTAATTATGCACAGGTACACCACACTGACGTTTGAGTTTTGAGTTACAACTGACTGCTCAACAAATCCAACAAAGATCAGAAAAATGACGTAATGATAATATTGTATTTACCAAGTACACAGAACAAAGTCTGTGAAGGTTCCCAGTCATCTACGTCATTTTATCCAAAGCAGTTCAGAAACAGGCAACTTGACCTGACTTAGTCAGGTCAAGTTGCCCCCGTCTAAACAAAAGACAATGATATAGTTGAGAATTTGTCTTTCTTTTTTTCTTTACTTACGTCAATCCTTTGAGAAAGCTAAGTGGTGCTGTTTTGAAGGACTTTACTCACCTCTTTCTAAACTCCTAATTTTCCTCTTTATCATTCTTGTGTCTGTAATATTGACTGCTCAGTGACTCAACATATAAAGTGCGTATGTACACAGTACATTATTTCATCTATACAGGACAAACTGCTAGGCTGAGCTGGTGAAAGTACTTGTCCATGTTCTGCTCGACACTGATGTGGTAAAACCCAACATTTGGAACACAGGCTCAAACAAGCCAAAGACAGGACTATTAAAATACTGTTTGACCTTCGTCTGGTGCACAGTGTCTGTATAGCGAGCATAGTCATAGTCATACACAAACACACACTCCCACGGCCCCGGAAAAGAAAATTGAATGGACTGACAGCTGGGCATGCAATGTCATGTCAGGACAGTCTGCTCTGCTGTTAGTACTCAGGGCCACTCACAGTGATCTATAGTCCTTCTATGACTGTTTTATTAGTCAGGCAGTGGAAGAGCGACAGACCAGACCTGCTCTGTGGACCAACGTCAGTGAGCAGTGAGAGCCAGAGTCGGGGGCCGAGATGGGGCTATAACACTGATGCAGTGAAAGGCTAGTGTGTCATTCCAGGCAACAGTAAGGCAGTACATGGCAGCCTACTGACCCACGGTGTCAAACGGTGCAATGCTACGTTTCCATACGTTTGTCACTTTCGATGGCATCACATGTGCATTAGAGTTAAAACAGAATCAAAGCAGTCACACCAGTGTGTTCCTCCGACCACCGTGTTACTTACTTGCACACAGCTGTTTGAATACTACACAAGCTCCTATCAAGATATCAAAAACTAAGAATTACAATCAGAGGTTTGTAATGATGTAAAGGGTTTTTTTGTGTTTGTGAGCATGAACAAGGAGGGATGCATCCAAAACAGAGTCTTTACATAAAAAAAACTGATTCATTCATTCAGTCACCTACAGATGCATGTGCCACAGATCAGTATGTGTATATATAATATGTGTGTGTGTGTGTGTGTGTGAGCGCTCTCATGTGATTAGCGTGTTTCAGGAGTCACTGGGTCCATGCTTCCCCTGCGGTGCATTAGTGCTGGTACTCTGCGGTGGATGTAGGTCATGTCATTATAACCGATGAGGTAAAAGCCTGGTGTCTCGCTATTTGAGAGCACATCAGCATTAACTCGGTGGACTGAACCCTGGCCCGGTGTAAACACCAGTCTGCTTCGGCGTGCGCCTCCTCACGTATGAGATGGCCACCATTACATTAAGCCTAGTAAAAATGATTATGAAGCTTAAGCTTCCTCATTCAGTTGGATGTACCAACCGTGCCATTGACAAGACAAGACACAGGACAGAGAAATATATGTGTCTATCTGGCTAAGCTATGATGTCAAATTTACCACAATTTATATTTTATAAAGAAAGGTTTGTAAATTTAATAAACGATAAAATATTACAAGCTAAATACATTTAACTTAAATTTAAAACTCGACTGAAAATAAAACTATTGACTAAATTGGGACGAGACTACAGTAGAATTTAGTCAAAAACAAAAAGACAGACTAACTCAATATTGCCTATGTAAACCAACAGTGTGCATTAAAGTCCAGTCACTGAACTTCGCAGCTGCCACATGGACAGAAAAAAAAAAAAAAAAAGGCTGTGAGCAACTCTATCTCCCTCTTTGTTACTGCTCAACCTTCAGTCAGCAGCAGTGGATCTATTCATTAGTGTGGTAAAGGTTGCATGTGGAGGCACAAGTGGAAGTTGTCGTCGAGTGTCAGGAGTGCAGCCCGTCTCTAATCCCACCATTATCTGAAATCACTTTATTGATTAGAAAGCCAAGTCCGACCGAGCCGCTGCCTGGATGCACCTGCCTTTGTCGGCCTCACAGAACTACTGCATGAACTCACTGTTCTTTAACACAAATTCAACTTCTAATGATGAATGATGTGTCCTGCTCTAAAGATTCAAAGGTAACCTATAGTGTCTTTATAAAAAGAGGATTTTGGTGGTGTTATCCTGCCAACTGTATGAACTACAGAGCAGACAAAAAAAGAAGTCAAAAGAAGTGTGATTTTTGTTGCACTGTACTTGTAATAATATTGTCAGTGATGTTCATGACTGTCCGTGTCAGGTTGTTTTTTAACTGCTAATTATCCATAATAACTGTTAACTGTTGCAATCTGGCAAACAACAAAGCAATTTGTTAGAATCAACCTTTGGTCTATGTCCAAAGGTTGACCAGGAACGTTTTAGAGAAACACAAAAGTGTCCTTCCTTGTATTTCACTTTGATTATGAGATTAAATGTATTGTGGCCCAAACGTGAATGGGACTAAACTAGTGCATGTGTGTGTGTTTGTGTATGGGCGTGTTATGAGTGGTGAAGGACTTACCTAGCATGCGAATGTACAGTGCTGTCTGGTCAGAGCTGTCATAAGAGATGGCCCCACGTCTCTAAAACAAACACCAAGAGCAAAGATTAATTATCACACTTTATTGAGGTACTGCAATTATATTTTAATATCAACTTAATAACTCCTGCCTCATATCAAACCAACACACACTGAGCAAAGAAAACACAGAGCACGGAGCACGCACTTCCATCCACAGAGATGTGCTATTTTTGCGCGGCTGTGTGTACATAAACTGCTCCAGCTGATAAACATGTTCCACGTCCATACTATCAGACTGATGTGGCAGTTGCACTGCTGCTATCAGTCATGTGAGAAACAGCCATGCCCCATGGACTCACATAGACAAGCAGGCCTAACGTTTAAAAAAGAAACTATTTCAAAATGATTCCACTCATTCCAAAGATTCCACTTCTAGTTCTCTTTCATCGGTGTCCTGTATATTGGAAGCTGGATACACTTCAAATGTAGTTTAAATGCACTTCCTTCCAAGATCAACATAATGATGTAAACTCAAGCAGCTGCACCACAGGCATACTTCTTCTCAAGAGTACCTACAGGAAGTGGGCTATTGACCATCTGTGAACTGTTTACTCATTGAGAAATCAACAACCAGTGGACATTTCTTCAGAATTTCACCATAACACTCCACAATGTTTGTCTCATCAATCTCTGAGATGTGATCTGCAGATGAGGTTTTCCATATAAATCAAAAATGACATTGTTTAAAAAGTGAAGAAGTGTTTTGAAGCAGGTGAATGTGTTGACGTGAGGGTAGGACAGCGCAACAATAGTCCTCTACAAAAAGGGAGCGCTGCAGAAAATGTTTTAATGTAAAATGCAATCACACTTACTGGTAAGTTAGAAATATTGCAGAATAAAAAACTACAATCACTCATATAAAAAAATAAACATTTACAGCAATTAATATGAATTATATATGAGGCAAACATTGACGACCAGCTGTGGTTAGAAATAGAAAAACAACATGTCACGGTTACGTGCCAAGTGTGTTGCTGGTTCAACCTTTGTTTGTTATTGTTATATAAGGTTTAATTGAAGGGCTGCAAATCAGCTCAGGGTTCGGACACTGTCATTAAGTTGTTAATGTATTATTTACTGACAGCCAGTGATGATATTTACCAAACCAATTTTGTCCAGGCTTTAAATGGTTAAAAGTCATTTTCAGTGGATGACGTTAAAGCAAAAAAAAAAAAAAATTACCTTATTGCTTTTTCACTTAGTCACAGTCTTACAGCACATGGGAGCTGTAGTAGCAGAGTCAGTGCCACAGTGGTAGTTGTAGCCAGTAAGAACTGTGGTTACTGCATATTTGCTATGTCAACACACAACTGCTCCGGGTTACACTAAGTTGTTGGCTCACCTCTCCGTGCACTCCACATATCCTGGACTCCCTCCAGATCAACTCTCCGTCTGGGGCTACCCTCATCTGCTCATTCCAGTGTTTCCCACATAATTGTCTAAAGTCTAATCTGCAGCATGAGCAAATGAGTCCAGACATATGCAGCCGGCTCGACAAACATCTGGTTTTACGAGTAGTGTCCTGTTTTCTGAGAAATACTCTACACACCTGACACAGGGGTATACACGGCTGAAGTCTGGTCGTCAAGAGTACAAGAGTAGTCAGAGGCCATTTGTGAGATTTTATTTTCCCATACGTCTCGTTATGACATCAAGACAGGTTGAATTCTATCGACTTGTTTGCTTTGAGTTATGAAACACTTAATGTTTGATTAGTGTCTGGCTGCATACAAAGAGACAGAATGGACGGATAGCTTATAATTAACATTGGCCATCGCCACACCCAGTCAACCAGCAGGGGTCCTCCCTGAAGGAGGCCAAATGTTATCCAAAAGGTTATCCAAAGTTAAAACATGGAACATGAAAATAATCTGTCTTTGATAAAGACAGAGTGTAAACCAGCAGAGTGATTTATAATGTGCAGTTATGTGATTGATGACAACAATCAACTGTTCCAACCAAAACAGAAATGAACAAGTGTGGATACTCATTATCTCACATCAATAGGATTACTTCAAATCTCTCTATGTATGCGCGCACACACATACAGACACAGAAGTACAGACAAAACACACACCGGGCTCCGTCTGTCCTTGTCTGAGCCCATGACAGCTGCCAATCCAAAGACAATATTTTACGACTAGCAAACAGTTTGACTCAGGAAGGTTAATCTGCAAAACGGTATTTTAGTGTCAATAGACCTCTTTGTTTACACACACAGCACCAGGTTAGTGTGAGCATTACAAAGAGAGAGAGTGTGTGTGTGTGTGATGATATCAGCTGTGTGAGACCGGTATACTTCTGGCTTCTGGCAATGCAAGTGTGACCAGCACAAACAAACATTTTTACCACAGCAGCCAGGGACAAATACATGAAATACTAACACACACACACACACACACACACACACACACACACACACACACACACACACCTATAACTAAGCAGACACTGGTTAGAACTAGGGATCTAACGCTTCATGAATTGATTAAAAATTGATAAAAATTTCCATCGTTTGAAATTTAAAAAATGAATTACGCATTAAGGCATAAGGAGTCGAGCTGAAAAAAAAAGTCAGTGATCATACCATGAGACTACACACTCTAGTACAGTGGGTGGTACAGTAGGTTGTGCTATCCTATTAAAACATGAGGTCAGGCCCCTGCGAAGCCTAAGTGACATTCAGGTGTTGAAATACAACGTGGGAAGAACATCTTCCACAGACAAAAACTGTGTTTTACGGTGTTTCCGTAAAGACAGGAACTCTCTGCAGTGAATATTTTTTATATTCTTTTGTTGTTTAATATACTCACAGTTACGAGGTAAATAAGACCAGACCTGTTTTACTCTTAATAAGAGGAGTAAAATAATAGTTACAGTTTATGAGATACACAAGACCGTTTCAGTTAGTTTGTATGTGGAGTATTTGGTATGTGGAACTAATTACATTTTTGTTAAAATTGTGATAAATTCGTATTGTGAACATAGAATTGTGAATCGTTTTGTATGGTATCCTGAGTTGAGTGTATTGTTACATCCCTAGTTGGAACTAAAGGGACCAGCCTTCAACATAGATCCACAGTTTGTGAGCAACACCAGGAGTGAAGTCATTTCACATGTAGCAGTCAGAGATCAAGTCAAAGTCTCTTTTCTTTTGGGGGGTTACTAACACTACTACCCTAACAACCTGCTCATTGTGCTCCCTTCAGTTCCTCATGAGCTTGTTTACATTTGGCTCTGGCTCTTATCTCAGCTTAGTCTCGCCGCCTCAGGTCATGCCACTCGGGTTTCTGAGGTTGAGAGGTCATATGATGTCAAAACTTTTCACCCTGTGACAAACTCCAGGCCTTCTTCCACAACTGACCTACTCCCTCACAACTAGCCTCGTAGAAATGACTAATCATCATAAAAGGTGTGTTAAATATTGGCTTTTAGTTCCCATCAATGTTTGCTCTGAACAAACAGAATCATTGACTCGGTCTGTGTCAAAATAGACAGGCTGAGCAAAGACAACTCATTTTCATAACAGCACAATGGTTCTATCCAAACATACTTTCTTGTCACGGTGGCATTGCGACTGTTCCCAAAACTGTCCAACACTATTTCAGTAGTATGCAGAAGTCCAGGGGAGGATAAAGCATTTTCATACTTACTTTCATCCACCAACGACACAAAACCTGCTTCTATACTGTCATTTGGTTTTTAAATTCTCAAACACAGGGCTCGTGCGTCAGCAACAGGCAAGCAAATGAGGAAGCCGGCACTTTTTTTATGAACTGACATATCAGAAACAAAACACACACATACGCACGCACACACACCACACTCATGTAAATTCCTCAGATAAAAGCAGTAGGGCTCAGCATGCTTTCATAAACTGAAAGCTTCCTTCTGAGTTATAACCTCTTGTAGCTCAGTGTGCTGTGTGGGACGGCGCATTCCAGTCAGTGAGTGTTAAAACCATAGACGTGGACAGGCTTAAATTGAGTGTGTCTGTGCATGTGTATTTGTTCACCAGCCGTTGCATACACAAAGCCCTGGATGGAGTCTACCTGTTCCCTAAGTGTTTTATGAGAAGGCTCTCCACTGTGATACACTCCAGCTGCAGTCAGTGTTGTGAGAGAGGGGCCGCTGGTTTAAAGGCAGAGGCCTGGGGTGAAATGGCCTAATGTCTTAGTTGGCAGATGACAGGACAGAGTCGCTGCCAAAGACCAAAACAGCCTGCCTGTCAAGCTGTAATAAATAAACAACATTTTAAAAATATATTTTTACTCTAAATCCTAAATCATCAGAAAATCATGTGAGCATTTTTTGCCAGGGAAAGCCTTCCACCTTTTTCTTTTTTTAAAGGGTTTTTTTTTTTTTTTTGAGACACTCAAGCAAAACAATGGCGTGAATATTTGGGGAGAGGGACTGTTTGATACTGTACTCTCAGAGGCCGTCTACTCAGCTGAGGAATTTCATTAATTTCAAACATCATTCCTAGGCTCTAATTGCTTCTTTCAGGTAGGTTAATGTCCTTCTCCTGGAAGCCTTATCCTTCTGTGAAGGGCAAACAAATTCCAGGTTTCCACTGAATCTGCGGTTGATTATTTGGGTTTAAAATAAGTAATGCTGGTAAATAACTCCTCAATCCCTGCATGGAATTGTTTCTACAGAAAATATGAATATATACAGGCGCAGCTGCTGGCCCCCGACATTGTCTCCCTTACTGTGTTGATATGTGAAGCGTTATTTTCATGGTTGATTGCGTCTGACGCTGCTGCACAAAAACAGAATGGTCATGTGATAAGAGGGGGCCCATGCAAAGAGGGAGAGAAACGGGCAGAAAAATTGACTATGTGTATGTTTAACAGAAGACAGGATGTTAAGCTTCGCTTCGTTGTGTTTACAAAATTTTACGCATCCCCACTTAATAACAAACAGCACCACTGCTTTCCCACTGGGTGACTGCAAATTCTAGGAAAACCTAGCCATTGGCCTTGTGAGGGTTAAAGTTTTTTAAGAAAACGTTGTGAAACTCCAGAGTCTGAACAGCTCCTTCAGCATTCTTACCACATCCTGCATCGACGTCAATCCGTTTGCAGTGCTCAGAGAAGGGAGAAAAAAAACCTTATCGGTTGAGTTAAAATCAACAAAGTGACACCCTGAGAAAGATGCACTCTAGTGTGTGCCTTATCAGACTGCATAGAAACATCCATAGAGTGTGCAAAATTGGTGACACTATCACTCACTCTTACGCACAACCCTATCAGCATCTCCTGGGCCTGAAAGATTGACAAAGAGTCAATACCGGGTCAGTAGCCAATGTAAGCATGATGGTATCACGGAGTGATATGATGGACTGACATGACAGCACACCAACGCTTTCTGGACCAGCCTTTCCTCTCACTATCACCAAAAGCCATGTGACGACTGAAGGTGCATCAATATCTTGCATCTGTTTATTGACACTTGTGGAGTTTTATTTTTATTTTCTAAAACTGATGCTTTAGAACCACACATAAGGAGATTGAATCTCCAAACAAATATGCCAATTCATGAATCAATACTAATTCACTAAATAAATGTTGCAACCAATTAAAAATGAGATATTTGGGAGGGTATGTTGTTGTGTTTCTGAAGTTCATTTTGTTCCTGTTGTCCTCTCTTTACTTCATAAAAACCAAAATGCTGCCACTTGTCAGTTTATAACAGAGGTCTTGGGCTGTGGCTGTCCTCTCTAAAACAAAGGGGGGGTTGTCAGGATGAATCATAACATGCAAAATACATTTAAATTTACTGCCACCATCAGGTAGGCAGCATATCAACAAGAACCCAATAATGTGCTGTGAAAAAACAATGAAAGCATCAAAAAAAAAGTTGAAAGGACCTAATGTTTTTCATGCCATTGCTGTCTTCCACGCCTCTTCAAGAGAATATTTTAAACCCATGAGCATTCCACAAACACAGAACAGAGTGACATATTCTTCTATGACTGTCACGTTTTAGGCCCCACTGCTTCATCTGCTGTTTACGAGAGGAAATGGCTTCATCAGAGACAGGTGGGGGGCTGGGCCGTAGAGGGGAAAGAAGGAAAGTAAAGAAAGGGGCCGATTGTGAGTGACCAGAACAAGATAGTCAGAGAGAGGACCATAACAAGTGAGACTTTGGCCATCTGCGAGTCTGGCATCTGGCCAAACCACTGCCCACAGAGCCCAGGCACATGCCGAACTGCCTCTTTCTGTGATGGTAGTCCGGCCCTGCTCCCACAAACAACAGGCTTGTGGAACCGCACACAAAAACACAGCAGCCACCGAGGACAAATGCACCCTTATGGTCATAAATAGGGCTGGAAACACAATATTTGCAGAAGTGTAATTGCCCTGTGACAAAAGCTGAGTGACAAGTGCCGCATGCCCGCGTGCGTGCTCGACCATGTTCTCCTGATGTGCAGGACAAATAAAATGACGACTGTCAACGTCAGCAAGACATCATGCAGAGTTTGTTGTCAAGACTTTGGCTTTTTTTTAAGCTTAGGTTAAAATTGCCAGGAGAAAGACTTACGATTCATCAAAATTTTACTGAACAACCAAATATAAACTCTGACCTATATGAAACATCACAATAAGAATCTAAGTAAGATTAAAACATTTTTAAAAAGTATCATAAGTTCCTTCAAAGGTATACTTTTAAGATATGCATATATCATATATCAAAATGTAGCTGATTTATCAAGATTGATGATTTTTGCACCATTTTGTCCAGCCCTTGGTGTGTGACAAGACCTATCTATTGTGCCTGAGCAACCGTGAGCACCACTGCCCATGAAAAACATGCCATCCTGCCCTATGAATCACCCGTGATATTGTGACAGGTTCAAAGCAGATACACATGACTAGGTATCTGGGACATGGTCCAGCACAAAGCACTAATGGACAGCCCATTGAAAGAGACTATGCACATGGTTGAGGACTGTGACTTTGTACCATCTGATGCTGCAGGAATCTTTGTTCAACGCCACAACATGACTCCAAAAAATGGCTACAATCCAAGTCCTTTTGTGCAAAACTGCCAAAGCTCTGGTTGGGATGTTATTCTGTTTAAATAAAGTTCAACGCTACAAGGGTAGGATTAGGACATTGTGTACACAACATTTGTCCTGAAACAAGTTAACAGGATCCAAACAGAGCTCATGTAACAAGTACTGGATTTAGACCTGGTTAAATACAGCAGTGGTACATTGTTTTGTTGGGCTATTGTACTTTAAAGTCCCATGTTAGCTTACTACATTAAACTTCTGGACTCAACAAACTGCATCTGTACTGTAGGTAATAAAAAAAAAGGTACAATGTACAAGATTGTGGCTCCTGTAAAGCAAGGCCTTTGACCATAGTATACATGCGTAGTTTGGTTACTTTCTAACCATTAAACACAAGACAGTGTAGCATAAGCTCATCAAAACATATTGGCATAAATTGAATATCCAGATTCACACAGAATAAAGATTAAAATTCAAAAGTTCCTAATGGGATTAAAAAAAAACAGCACTAAACACAGATGAGTTTTTTGTTTCTTGTCTATTTTCGTAATTTTATTTGATTCTTCAACTACAATAAGTCCAGGAATGTTGCCGTTCCTTCATCACATGTCCTCTCTTGTCCAGCGTTTCCACCATTGTTCCAGCAGGGCAAAATGTGAACACTGTTGTTTTAGTAATGTTACATCAAGAAGCTCATCTGGATCGTTTCCAATTCAGTTAGTCACCTATCTTAATCTTAATTATAGTCTTAATTATAAAAACATTTAAAGAGTTTTCTTCATTCTTTTAAGTTGCCAATCCAACTTCTTAAAGAGTAAACTGAAAAAGCATGCAGGCTAAGTAAAGACCCATTTCAAGAGTTTAAAACTGCCAAAGCAGGAAGTTCATGTATGAATCAATGAGTCATGTTTTTGTTCTTAGATGTGACGAGGCATGCCAACACAAATACTGTTGTAGCTCATTAGTTTGACAAATTTAACAAGTTCCACAAGTGCTCCGAAAGAATGACGCTATAGCCTGAGCTCTTTTATCAGTGCACAAACTAATGCAAATTAGTTTTTAGGAAATGGACAGTGGGTCTGTGTTTTGGGTGCAGGACAAAAAAAACAGTGTGGTGCATCTTCACAAGTGATTGTTTTTACTATGTGTGTGTGCATGTGTGTACGAGATGGCCTAGATATCCGGCAACCACCTGCAAGATTCCTGTGGATTATTCATACATTTGTTAGAAATGTGCCGGTTTGAGGCCTGTGTGATTCCCACGGACAAAGTAACTGACCGTCTGGATGACATGGAAATTAGGACTGGTGATTCGATTGTATTATTATATATTATTATTATGTCCTTACCTGTGACAGCTGCCTTGGATCGGGGGACCCGAAGAGAGAGGAACTGGAACTGAAACTAATGGCTCCCCTCCGGCTGAGGACATGCTTGGGAACCGGCCTGTCTAGAGGCAAAACCGGCAGCTGATAACATACTTCCATTGAATAGTCAGGGCTTGATCCGGGTCAAAAAAATAAAAAAAATAATAATAAGAGTAATGACAAATCAATCGTTCGGGGGAAATGTACTACAAGTGCAAAGAGAAAATAGATGACTAGTGAATAAGAAACCCCCTTCAAGCAAAGGGAAAAAAAGCTCAATATTATGAAAATGTTCTACTATCAAGCTGCAAAGTGTCTGTGTTCATTATGAGCCATACAGAACTTGTCCAGATCGCCTTCATTGATGCCAAGTCTTGTCTGCCTCCTCTGGTGTCATTCTGTCAGGGGGAAATAATCATGCTGTTGTTGCATTTGCTCCTTTCCTCCTCATTCTACTCAAATCCGGGCCCACGGACGACGAGACCTTCTTGCCATTTTCTCTCTGTCTTTCTGAAAACGCTTCCTCATTTTCCAAAAACATAAAGAAACCAATGTCCGCTCATTTGCGCTTCCTGGCGTTTTTTGTGCGGCTCAGGCGTTGATCACAAACAGCCGAAATGAAGACAAAAGGCACGAAAAACTGCTTCCACCAAAGACCACCGCCAACATAATCGTGTTGTCTGTCTGCTACGGCAGCGAAGAAGGATGAAACGAGGGAGCTCCGGGATGTGAGACGGTGTCAGCCGCGGCCAGGACGCCCTTTCCCCTTCCCCCCTTCTTCTTCTCTCATTCACACTCGCACCGTTGGAGAATTATAATTAACACGTTGAGCTTTTCTGCCTTTTTGAACGAGCTGCATGATGAAGAGCCGTTGTCTAATACACCGCTGACCGTAAAGCATAGAAGTGCCTGGCTCTGAGAGAGAGGGGAACCCCGACCTTCCTCTCGTTCACGGAGATCTCTGTGGCTTGAAACAGAACGTCATGGCACCAAAGGCAAAGTTAACAACCCCCCCGAGAAAAAATATTCTTAAAAAAACGAACCTAAAGCGTATTTATATCTTACCGCTACCTACCTATCGTCCTAAACATTAGCCTACAGTGTGGTTTAAAGCGCACACACCACCTGCCAGAGATGGTGCTGTTGGAGCGAACAAAACGCCCTTGTCTTCCGCTCCACCAATGACGTGAAGACAGCTCTTGTTACCGTAATACTAATTGGACAATACTGTTGAGACATTATAAAACGACATCTGTGATTGGCTGAGCCACCAGGGCGATCCCAATACCTATATGAGCAGTCGTTTGCAGACGGCATGGACTTTCTCAAGGGTATTCCTCCACAACGGGGCTTGCCCTGCAGCGGTCCACATCATTGCCTGTGATTACCTTCCTCTCATGACTCATACTACTTGGAGCTGAGATTCACTGGGAGTTTAAAATACAGTCAAAGAAATATAAGTAAATACCAGAGCCTTAGATAAACCCGAGCAAATGCTTCTACCTGACTACATCTGCACGAGGATGATATTATAAAGTAAATCAAGACTGACTCATTTTACTACCTGAAAGCATTATTTGCACTACATTGCAATTGAACGCCAGGTTGCAATTTTCTTTATGTCATAATATATGAATTGCCTCATGCTGCAGGTGGTTCATTCAAACAATGATACAATAAAATCTTACAGCATTAAGCAAAAAGAAAAAAAAGCTCCATAGTTTTATTGTGTCATACCTAGGGGCTAGGGGAAACAACAGGTTTACTTTGGCAATTGTCAAACCCGGTGCCAACAGAGGCATAGTCACACTCACACCCTATTTCCAAGAGTCTGACTGTAGTTACCCCACAGTCATACACCCACAAAGTCATCTTCCCCTGGGCTGCTACGGCAACACAAAACACAAGACAAAACAACAAATGTGCCCATATACTGCAGCAGAGGTAAAAGTCCAAATGAAACACACAAATTGGAAAGGGATATATAGTTATAGTTATTTGCATGATGAAAGTATATGTACAGTATATATGTACATGTATATATACTGTTATATATGTACAGTATATATGTATATACTGCAAAACAATTCAACCAGTTAATCAGTTGATATCGTTCAGTTGAACTCCTGCAGTCTATAGTCAGATGCAAACAACAAAAAATGCTAAAAAGGTGTCATCAGTGTTCAAACTGTACATAGAATGCAGCCATCCACCCTGGTATTTTTGGTATTTTGAGACAATACACACTATGCAAGGTACGTTACTGCACATTACACCACAAACATTCACAAGAACAACAACAAAAAAAGACAGAAAGACTGTGGACATTTTCTGGAGGTTAAGAGAATAAAAAAAGTACTTGCAGCTGTAAAACCTGTCTGTCGTGAAAAAAACAACAACAACATATACACATGCCTATTGGAATGAAATGATTGATGTACATCCATTAAGAGCTACAATGGCTGCCTTGTTGACCATTCTGTAAAAGTAAAACCAAGATCATGTTTTGCATTTAAACAGGAAGCTATGGTGTTGGTATGACCAGAGCAGTATTTTCACTGAGTGCAGTGTAATCCCAGTGAATAAAGGCTGGCTTTGGTCAAAATGTTATATTTTGTTGTAGAATTTGTCTGTCAGGACAACTTAAAGAAATGTCCTCTCCCTCAGCTGTCTTGTCAGGGGCCACACTACCACAGAAAAAGGCTAACTGAGTAATATTAAAATACCAATGCCAACTTCAGGTCACTGTGGGTGGTAGTTGCTAACCTGATAACATCCTGTTTTGAGGTACAACAGATAAACCAACAAAAATGTGTCAACAGCTATTTTTTGTACTTCATAAGAACTATAGAAGGCCATTCCAATCCAGATACACTTTCAATGGTTCATAAAAAACCACCAAGCAGGAAGGTGGACATCTTTTAAATGGACACGAGTGAGTCAAATATTGCAAAATTCATCATTTCCTGTTGTATGTTTATAAACAGGAAAGTATTGTTGTATTTAAATTACATCACAAAGTGTAGACAAAGAATGCTAACGGGAAAAAAACCCTCTTGTTAATTACCCTGCTCAGAGGTAATAAAACCACCGCACATGTCGTAACTTGACTATTAAACATATTTGCTTCAAATAAATGACATAGACCGTCGACCACATGTGGATGGCAATATTCTCCCATTCACAGTTTACAAACCAGTTGTTGCCAGACAACTCTGAAACTGCTTGAACTTGTATGTGACCACGTCAATGATACGTCACTTGCCTGGACTGTTTGTTGACTATTCATACTTAACCCTCTAAGTGCACACCAGGGAGAACAATTTGAGAGACTTTTCTAACAATTAATTTCCTTCTCAGGCATTTTTTCTTTGTCTACCTTCACACTGCTTGCAAATGAGCCTACACTATGAGCAGACACGCCTTTATACAGTGCTACGTCAGATGTGTTTACCTACGTATTCTAACGCAAGCCTCCAGGGCTGCATACTGAACCGGCTGATTCCCCCTGCGGTCACAGGTACTGTTTCAGCTGTAGGCCCCTGGTGCTTCAGTCCTCCTGACTCCTACGTTGCTGATTGCTCTCAGGAGACTCTACCTGCCACGGTCTCCCTAATTGATTTACCGGTTACCTCTTAATGACACTGAAAACAAATGGAGGTATTGTATATTGTCTTACTGCAGCACTTATGATGCTCCGGGGCAAACAGACCCTATAGGTGCATAGGTAAACACACATGCAACACAGCTCATTAACATGCTCACGCAAACGTCTGTTTTCTGATGAGTTGACTCTTTGTGTCACCATAGTACATTCTTCTTCTACTACCTCTTCTGTATTTATCTGGAGTATACTATAAAATCTATTATAATCTAATGTGTATGTACTGGAATGAACATTTTTATACTGCTGTCTATATGCCAGAAACACATGCACTAAAGACGCAAAGGAATGACATGTGTCTGCAGAGCCACCTTGTGGTGAAATGAAGGTCCGCTGAAGAAGGTAAAAAAAAAACCCCAACAGTAAAATGATAAGATTTAAAACGCTTGATGAAGTGTCAGCGTGGTAATTTCATTAAAAATATCCTAAGGTATGTATTTGTGCTTCGAATCAAATACTGAGGGTAGACTTCGGGGATTACGCGTATATGTTTCTGTTTTGAAATGCTAGCGAGAGACCAAAACTCTTTGGTGGTTTCAAACAAACCTGGCACGCGGTTGTGTTCGCACTTACACTTGGAAGAAACTTCTCTGTTCTTGGACACAAGCAACGAAAAGGGGAGAAAAAGTGTGTGAGAAGTGTTGTGAGTCCTGGACTGCACCGATGTGTGATGCTTTCATTTGTTATGTATGTGTTACTGAAGTGATAGATCTCACTTTTATCCACATTATTCATACAGCACTTACTGAGAACAGTATGAATCATATCGACTCAAAGCACTGGCATCAACCCCAAGTGCAACGCAAGAGCACCACGTGCCAAAGAGTGGATGGATGGTTAGATGGATGGATGGACCGACGGACGGACAGATGAATGGATCATTATGCGTCACTTGACACGGCGTGGCACCTTTTAACCACTAGATAGCAGTGTTTCACCGTGTAAAAGGCCGCTGGGTGTCAGGCTAGTTTGTCATGTCGGTGCAATGATTGGTGACTAATTCATGAAATATTACAGATTAATCAAATAAAAAATATAATAATGATTTCAGAAACAGCTCCCAAAGTTACATTACCACAGTTTCCGTCAGACTGAGGTCGTAGTCAACTGTTAAGTTACCAAGAGGTCATCATTTTTGACAAAACGTTTTTGTCTCTATCTCTATCTCCTCTGTTTGCTTTACACTGAAACATACTGCTTGTTGTCAAGGTACCATTTTAAATTGTACTCGGTATATCTATTAAAAAAACCTGTCTGAAGCCAGTGGCGTTCACGTCAGTGATCTCTGTTAGGTTGGGATGGTTTAAAATTGGGATATTCAAAGTCATCATGCTGCAAAAGAGGGTGTTGAACATGAGATAAATGTAAAGTGCAGTTGTCACGATGCAGCCGGTGCTGTGTTTGAAGCCAGACTGAGAGAAGCACTTGGATGCTGAGCACATCTCAGCTTCCCATGACCATGAGCTGCAGCGGTGCCTATTAAAACCCACTGACGTCTCTTTTACGTCACTGCATGGGAGAAGATCTTACATAAAACCACATGTGAAAAGCAAGCTGTTTGCTTTCTCTAGTTCCTGTGATAAATGGACGACTTCTCAAACCAATCAGACGTTCAATGCAATTATAAAAAGCAATGTTAGAGACACAAATTCAACATTTAGTAAAGTGATGGAGACACAGAGACCACCTGGTGATTATGGACAATGTGGATAATAATCAGCTTATCTGCTGTCAGTATTTCATTGATTTTATATTTTTTCATATTTAGATTTATGTTGACTCTTTACTGGTATTTCACATGATAGGCAAATATTTTGCTTCCTAACGTACTGTACTGTACCCCAAACAGAAGGTCAGTTGACCAGACTGACGTAATGGAAACATATCAAAAGTTATTCTTTATCTTTTTTCACCATGTTTTATGTGGAACATTATTCAGGCTTTTGATCCACATGAGTTTGTTTTTAATGGTCCTGACAGAAGGTTCAGAAAATCAATCTGTTTATTAATGGTAATAAAAACATGAAAATGTCTTTTATTGTTTTGATGACATTATTATATTATTACAAATCTGCTTGGATTTTCAGTTTGAAGTCCCTTACTTTGTATCTGTCTCTGTCAACTCTGGTGTGGACTTTCCTTGACGGTGCATTAGGAACCGTGTGTTCCGTTCTCACACCCACAGCCTAAAAGCCAAAGGGGAAAATGAGATGTGAATAACACATATCTGTTTTACACAATGCTATTACATCTGTACAAATACTTCAGTGTGAAAAGTTCATGATTATGTTTTCTGCAACACACAAAACTATGTCACTATACTGGAGGGAACAATTCAGGAAGCTAAGATAATCACCACAGATCATCATACAGGTTCCTATTGGATTATACTGTGAACCAGTGTAAATAAACTTCATTTCTATGCATGTTTTAGATACGGAGAACTTTTAAGACAAATAGAACGAAATCTTTTATGAAATTAAAATGATTTCTCCTACGTATCCTACAGTGACCTTGTGAATCAGTGACAGTGACAGGTTTCCATGTGCATCAGTGTAATATGCCTTCCACGTCACTGAAATATTCATGCACGGAAACAGGTGGCAACCATTGATCTGCTTACATCCTGCTCATTAAATACAAATTTAACTTCCAATCTCATGTGTTTGAATTAGGTCCTTTGTTAATCGTTTTAATCGTTGGCTCTGCGAGCAGGTCCTATCACTACATACTCAAAGGCCTATTTTTCACCTCTGTACAGGAGAACCAGGGTCACGCTAACCTCTTTGAAATGCCACCATATGGCATTCACTCTGACTTTTCAAAAAAAATCTCTTTACTGCTGCCTATTTGTCAAGCGGGAATATTATGAGTCAGAGAGTAACGGCTCATAAATAGCAAACTGGCTTCAATCACAAAGACATAAACAAGAACTCCTTCTTAATAGATCTCATTTGAATTCACTTTCAGCAGCCGTCTAAATGATGAGCTCTTGGCAAGAAGCTCGCCTGTTGTTAATAAATAAATAATCACACCAGTTTGGGCGTCTTGAAAATTACTGATCAGAACTCAACGAAGAGAATTTTTTCTTTTTCTTTTTTGCTTTCTATTACAGACACACATGGAAGTATAATTTGTGGTTAATCACTGGAAAAGGTAATAAACAGTAAACTGCAAAATATGTGACAGGCAGAACACAATAAGTAATAATTAGAAGGCGGAAATATCTCTCACTCCTTTACGCCTTTTTGTTGAGCTTAAATAACTCGACCAGACGCAGGAAGAAAAAATATACAGAACAGTTACCAAACCTTAATAACGGACATGTTTTTCTAATGTAGCACAGTTTAATGGAAGTGAAATGCATGAGGCTGAATGCTAATATAAAAATGTTTTCCTTTTCATACTTATAGCATATAAATGATTGTTCTTCTGTGCGAGGAGCTTTAAGAGCTCTAATGTTCCTGCCTGTTGGTGAGCATTTATTACAGTACATACCACCTGTGCTTTGTATGTTTTGGCCTTGAAAGTGTCACTTGTGTCGATAAAGATAAAAAGCTGCGTATTGGGTTGCAGATTATAGGGAGCTTCCTGATGAAAATAAAAGAAGAGTGTAGATCCATATAATTAGCACATGAATAAGGAGTAAATAAATAATTTTATCATCTAAATTATTTTAGTGCTGATATAAAAAAAAATTCTCTGAACAGAAGCTGTTCTTCTGCCAGCCAGAAAAAAAACTGACAGGCATTATAAACAAAGGCACATTGTGTGTGAAACTTGCTGCTGGTAATTACTGTTTTCAAGTGCAGCACAGCGATAAGTCATTTCACAGTCGCAGCCAGTTATATTTATTTTCATGGGCACTTGAAACTAAGTCACATATTTAATAATCACCCATAAACTCCCCTTTAAAACTATGCTACCACAACTGTGCAATGCGCACTATACATTGTGGGACCAGTGCAGTAACACACTATTGCACATAAATGGAAATATAAAACTATAAAACATATTTTTTGGAGTTGTTACGACACGAATTATGCTGCTAGACAAAAAAAAGCACCATAGATTATTTGTGTTTTCAGCGAAGGCTTCTGATTTTGTTTTTCTTTATTATTTAGTACATGTACTTCGATGACGTTATTTAAAGAGTCACAACACAAACGTGTATTTTTACCTGTGATATTCCTAACGAGCACTTCCGGTGTACGTTATTCACGTGACGTCGGGAGTAAATGACAAACGACAAAACCACGTGTTATCTATGGTGGCGACAAGGGACTCTTAAACGACGACTAAAACGTGACGTGAAATAGCAGCTAAAAAACATCATTGGAGAATGCGGGCATCGATCCCGCTACCTCTCGCATGCTAAGCGAGCGCTCTACCATTTGAGCTAATTCCCCTCGTGCGCCACTTGCCTTAAGTAAAATATTTAAAGATATTCTTAGACGACCACATACACGTACTGTTTAATAATAGGGTTTGATGCAAGAACCGTAAGTGTGAGAAAATTGACAGAGAAAAAGAGCAGAGCTCATTGAAGACGAGTTGGTTTAAACTAAAAGAATAAAAAACAGCACCCACCCAATTTTACCACCCTTTTTGCGCAGTTATTAAAACGTTCGAAACGTAGAAAGTGGGGTGCCTCGTAATCTGTGAAATGGTTCATTTGTTAACGTACATTTACTCCCCAATCAGCTGGACGAAGTAAAAACTTCAAAAGTAAATTTTACAATCGCTCACACTAACTCCTTCGATAGCTCAGTTGGTAGAGCGGAGGACTGTAGGTTGATTAACAGTGATCCTTAGGTCGCTGGTTCAAATCCGGCTCGAAGGAAAGTGACTTTTTCTTCTCTCTAGCCTCGTTGGCTTTTCGACCATAAACACCGCAAACCTACATTAGCAACCACACTGAACAGCTAATAAGGTTGCCCTTTTTAATTCATGTGTTAGTGTTAGAATGTTTAACTTTTAAAACTAAATACAATACATTATTTTACATCTACATTTTTATCTCATGTATTTTATTAATACATTAATGCAAGTGTGATCAATACAAGGGTCATTACATATATTACTATATGAATATGAAATCACTTTCTAGATAAATAATGGATTATTCTTTCAAAATATTACAGAGCGCAGCTGCAACTATATGGAATCTGCCTTTACAATAACGGATTAAAGGTAAAAAATATTACCTTTTGTAATCAAATTATGCAGAGTTTAAACTAGATTTCACAATAGAATGTGCATAGGTTTAGGAAAAGGATGTTCTAACAGTGCCTGGAAATATTGTTGAAATCCAAAGTTTCCTACAACTGATTAAACTCTTCCTTGAATTATATGAAATCCTCCTGAGCCACAGTCCACAGGGTTAAATAAAGGACTTTGTTTAAAAGCCAAGCTCATACACTGCTTTTAACGTCAGCCACATCAGAAAGCCACTTTCAATCTTCAACCAGCCAACTGTCATAGAGGCCTATTATACTCCCACAATGACTGGAACATGGACAAATCTGAATTACCTAAATGCTGAGTAACAGAGATGATGACTAAGCGAGTTAGAGAACATTTTAGAGTGGAGCAGCAAAAAGGCAGCACAGATGAAATCATTTTAAAGGCGTTATCAACTTATTTACTGCCTCTGATTTGTTTTTCTGTTCGTCATATGGTAACTGTTATTGTAGTGGATGAATAACAAACACCACTTGCATTGAGCACTTATTTTTTTTCACCATTTCAAGTGTTCGTGCTGGTGGGCAGCTGTTCAGTGCTCAGTTTCAAATATGGGCAGGGTAAAAATGGCAACCTTTGACGTGACAGCAATAGCTGCTAAAAACAGCCGTGACACCAGTGTCATAGGAGCCCACACCCGCTAGGACAGGACAAGAGGAGCAGGCCTCTCTTCAGCCTGACTCGGGGCCTGGTGAACGCGACAGTTATTGACAGACTTCTCACGAACCGTAGCAGCTCCAGACGTCCACTCCAACTCTGTTTTCTTTTGTGGTTTTTTGTGGATTTTGTGTTGTAAAATGAATACAATGGAGAACTTGGAGAAGCAGCTGGTTTGTCCCATATGTCTGGAAATGTTTACCAAACCTGTGGTCATCCTTCCCTGCCAGCATAACCTCTGCAGGAAATGTGCCAATGACATTTTTCAGGTAGGAGACTCTACATCATATTTACCACTAACACACGGTCAATGTATCCATATCTTTGGCTAATAGCCCATGCTATTCACTAATAATTCGATGAGGTATTTATGGGAGGCATGTGACACATAAGTGTCCCTAAAATGATCGTAAAGTTTAATTTATTAAATAATGAAGATGTACAGTACACCAAGATATTACAGTAGTTTTAATAAATGTCTTGGTATAATTTATATCACTGTTCATTTATTTTAGTTGAATATGTGAAAGATATGAATGTGACTGATGTTTACAATGACGTGTGCAGTTTTCCAGACAAGGATTGTTAAAATAAGGAGGTCATTTTTAATAATTAATTAAAATCAAAGTCCAAACCAGTGATATACTGTATATTTTAATTCTATGCAGTATTATAACAACAGATGGCGTTATCGTGTAGATCACAACCATTTTCTTTGAGTAAATATTGAGGGTACATATCTGTACTATACTTGTTTATTTCCCTAATGTTGGATCAACAGTCTTATCTTATCTTAATTCACTCATTATATTATTTGAAGGATTATCTATTATTGAACTTTATGCTGCTGTACACTTTCCAGGTTTGTATACAAACAAGGCTACGTTGAAAATTCACTGTTTTTATTACAAGTTAGTCGGAACTGGACATTTTCTAGTACGTTTAGGATTTAATATCAGTCATTAATGTTAGTGGAACGATCTGTACAGGTTTGAATTATAATGTTCTCACAGGCTTCAAATCCATACCTGTCGACAAGAAGCAGCACCCTGACGTCTGGTGGTCGCTTCAAATGTCCCTCGTGCAGACACGAGGTGGTTCTGGACAGACATGGCGTGTACGGCTTACAAAGGAACCTGTTGGTGGAGAACATCATCGATATGTTCAAGCAGGAGTCAAGCAGGTGAGACAGACGGAATTTGACACATTTTGTCTCTAATGTCATGACACACATGACACATGAGACTGAACCGAGATATAATCTAACTGTCTCAGGTTTGGATGACTGTGTGAAATAAGACCCACAACAAAAGGGTGAATTATTACAGAGTCATGATTTAAATTATGTTACAAAAGAGGAAAAACTAAACCTAACAGCGTGCACCTGAATTCACACTGAAATACTGAACGGCAAAAAGGTGATCAATTAACGGACCATCGATGACCTCTTGACACAGGCCTTTGACATTATCAAGCACCCATTACCCATCGCATCAATATGTTCCAAAAAAAACCCCCGGCTGACACCGAGGTAACACTGTTACTGTTCCACCTCCACAGCAGCAAGCCAGCGCCAGCCAGAAAGGAAGAAACGCCCATGTGTGACGTCCACCAGGAGGAAAAGATCAATATTTACTGCGTCACCCACGGCGTGCCCACATGCTCCATGTGTAAGGTTTTTGGAGACCACAAAGACTGTCAAGTGGAACCTCTGAGCAGCATTTACCAGACAAAGAAGGTGAGGCCTGAAATAGCCACAGAGCCTGATAATCAACAGAACTGATTACCAGATAGCTCGCTAATTACCTAGGCAGGGTGAGAAGGTAGAAGTAGGTAAAAAGGTAGGTAGATATGCAGCCGTGGTTCTCAAATAATGGTGTAGGCACCAATGGTGGTACTTAGGCTCCCTCTAGTGGTATGCAGAAGAGTCTAATTTCCATATACTTTTAATTATTCAGCGTGTGGGTCTGGTTTCAAAGTAGGTGTAAGTTGTAGTACTAATTCAATGTATTGTGTAGGAATATATTTTCTGCTTGTACAGTATTCTGTGTTTAGCTGAACAGAGAATACTTGCAGATCCAACATTTCTAGGTGGTACTAGATGTTTGCAGTACAAACAAGGTTTAAAACAAATACTACAGGAACTGTTTGAATACAGATCCATTTCCTTTACAAATGCTGTTGAGAGAATAAAAGTGAAGACTTTCAAATGCTCTTTAAACAAACCCAGGCTTACAAAGAAAGTCAAATAATTCCATTTAATTATTAATGTCCTATAACCTTTGAAATAGATTGTTCTTCCTCACTGACATCTAGTGTCTCTCCACCGGCATGTCCTTACTCCCCAGACAGAGCTGAGTGACGGGATAGCCATGATGGTCGGTCACAACGACAGGATGCAAGGCATCATCAGTCAGCTAGAGGAAACCTGTCGCGCCATAGAGGTCAGTGTCCAACCGCAGCTTGCTTAAACAGCCGTCTGAAATAATGCTACTGCCTTCACCTGCACAGACGTATCAGCAGGTCTAATCGGTACCACAGCGACGGCTCCACACTCCACTTTTGATCAGTTTGTATCATCGAGAGCGTGAGCTGAAAGGAGAGAAAGTCATATTACGTCCATATTATTTTCTTTTTTTTACATTTTCCCCTAATGCACTAGGCAGGGCACTCTATCCTGTCTCCACTCCATCGACGTTTAAACAAGCTGTGTTATTGATGGACGGAGGTTGGACAGCTCCCCGATTCTTCACATGCCACAGTTGGCCCAGGAGAGGAGGCGCTCAGTGGCGCCACTTAGGACAGACACACAGAATGAACTGTTATTTACTCTCATCCCTCTATCTCTATTCAAAGGAGACCGTTTAAATACAACAAGTGTTAACTAAAGTAGAGTGACAATCAATACGTAGTACATTTCAAATTACCAGGTATTCTTCTGTGAGTGTCCGAGGCTCCATCTCACTGTATTTTAGGTGAAGCACTAGCACTGTGTAATCATCAGTGCTGCTGCATGTAGTATCAGTATCTGGAAATACAGTTTATTTAGGTTTCATCAAGTCAGACCAGCTGCCCAAGACTTTTGCTTTAAATCCAGCCCCAAACCATAACAGAGCCTGAACCATGCTTCACTGAAGGTTCCTGGACAGTCATTATATTTTCCGACCTGATAACAGCCGAATCAAAATCCACAATGTGTTAAGCTTTTGTATTTTTTTTACTTGCAAAAAGGAACCATTCAAAAACCGTTAGTGTAAAATGAACTCATTTTGTACATTTTTAATTGTTCGTAGGCACTGATGACACTAAGAACGGGAATGAAAAAACCTGTAACTGCTGCTTAAAGACAATTATTTTAGAATGCTACATGTGTAACTAAATTGTGTGGACATTTCCACTTACACTGGTGCAGGAGAATGGCCGGAGGCAGAAGACCTTGGTCTGTGAGAAGTTCGATCAGTTGTACACCATCCTGGAGGAGAAGAAGAGGGACATGAGTCAAAAGGTAACGGCCGAACAGGAAGAGAAGCTGAACTACATCCGAGGACTGAGCAGGAAGTACGGAGACCACCTGGAGGAGAGTTGTAAAATTGTGGAGATGGGAATTCAGACTCTGGAAGAGCCAGAAATGGCTTCATTCCTGCAGGTCAGAGGTTACACTTTAACCACATCACTGGACGTTACAGAGAATCCAAGTGGATTCATGTTTATCTTTATCCCTCTGCCTCTTTCAGAACACAAAGCCTCTCCTCAAGAAGTAAGTTCATATTTTCATCATTGGTTTAGAATCCGTCCTTATTCAGTGACAACACTTAGATTTCCCCACGAGCAGGAAAACCAAGACATCTAATTAGAAACTCCTGCGTGTGTTTCTGTGCCCTTTTGCAGTGTGTTTTCTTCACATTCCAGTGAGTCATTTGCCAAATTAACATCTCCGCCCACACATAAAAGCATCAGTCTAACGCAGCAGGATCACACCTGCTGTCAAAAGAAAAGTTGTGAAATGTAACAAAATTCCTATCTATATCTGTGGCATCTTGAAATAACTTATGAAAGGCGCTCAGACTGATAACGTGTGTTATGACAAGTGTTACATTGACTCTGACTGCTAGTTTGTTTTTTTTTATTTCCTTTACACATATACAGTGCTTTTGCAACAACATTAAAAATGTTTTCCAGTCATCCTGGGCCATTTGGAGGCGTTACAATAAATAAATAAGTGAGTATGAAAATAAAATGTTTTTTAGCCCTGTCCCTGTAAGCTGGAATAGTTGGGGCGCCTCCCATTGGCTGGGAAAGAAGATTAAAATGTCTGTTCCTTTTCCACGTTCTGCCATTTAATTAAGTTACTTACTTTATCAATGAAACTTCAGTAACGTGCTGTCGTTAAAAATAAAAAATAAGGGATTGAGTGTATGCCATTCTGTCAGGTATGGTAAACCGGCAGGACACCAGACAACAAAATGCAGTCAGTTTTGCGGTGGTTAGACATTAAGTTTGTTATTCCGACACTACTTTAAGGTTACTTTGTCGACTAACGAATGCGCTGCGGCCTCACTGGTTGTCTCCCCCGTGTGGTTACAGAGGAGTGTTTACATAACGTCGCTCATGTTCGTTCAGTGCTATGCTAAACAGGCAGCTGTTCTTAGTGTGGCATTGTACATGGTAGTGGGGCTGCAGTTAGGTGTTAGGCAGATGGCAGAGCCTTGCACAGATAGGAGAAGTAGTGTGGATGGAGCGACCCAGTGTGAGAGACGGGATTATTTCATCAGTTATTATTGTGGGAATGGAATGGAATGACTCGTTTTGAAACGCATTTCCCGATCTTAAACATACAAAGTTGTTGATTTAGGAGTTGACAGACACAAAAATCAATATTGCATCATGTGTTCCCTTTCTTCTTCTCCTTCTCCGTCTTCTTCTACTTCCTCTGCCACCTCCAGCTCAGCCTGTTGTCTATTTGACAGAGCCTCAGAGAACGGTGTCTAAACCGTACATGTATATAGTAAACTTGGGCCACTTCAACCTTTATGTGTGTTTGTTGTCATGTTTTCCTGCATGTAGAATTACAGAGGCCTCCAGCACAGCACACTTAGATAAAGTGGAACGTGGCTACGAGAACATGGATCACTACAACGTGAACTTCAAGAGAGAAGGCAAGGCCCTGCGCAGCATCGACTTCATCGCTGGTGAGGCAGACGTTGGCTGACGTTGATTGAATTTGCCCATCAGAGATCTATTTTCTTTTAAATATAATTCTCACCTTGTACTTTTACAGACGACGAAGACGAAGACGACGAGGAAGAGGACGGAGATGAAGGCACCGAGGATGGAGAGGGGACCCACCTTGGGTCAGAGGGCAGCGCCGGCACGGCCGCCTCTCTCGCTGCCTGTTCGACCTCACAGCAGATAAACTCCACCCCCAGCACAGAGAAGAGCTCTGCCTCGACCTAGCTGCCGGCTCAAACAACACCCTATCCTGGAGAAAGGGGGGAGACAGGGGGATGTTAGGACAGTTTTGAATGGTTTCCCTCAGATTGGAGAAGAGTGAAATATATTTAGATCTGTGCCGGAGGGGAAAGAAGAAGTTGCGGAGGCGTGGGGTCGGCTTCTGTCCAATTCTTTATCTGTTGATGTGATTGTTTGTGTCCTTTTCACACGGACTGGTGTCTTTTTTTTTTTTTTGTTTTTGTTTTTACAGAGATATATTTTGCTTGTGTTTTGTTGTTGTTGTTTTTTTTAACCAGAAATTGCTACTGGTCACGCCCAGATTTTTAAAAGTGACAATACTTTTTTTTTTAAATGTCCCTGACCTTTTCCAACTCCTGGCTCAAACTACATCATTAGAACAGAGCAGCACAAGGGCCTCAGGTTTTCCACCCCGTCGTATACATTTATGACTAATCCCATATATCTACATGATTATATCAGTAAAAAATCTATCGTTGTGACATTTCCATTTTTTCATAACACTGAATGGCCTCATGTACCTGTGGCAGTACATGCAAATATATTTTCCTACTATGGACACTGGATGGGTTTTGCATTGTTACTGTATTATATATAACGTGTCATTAAAAAGTGCACTGTATAAGGAGGCCATAGTTTTTTTTCACAAAAATGTAGCCTTTCGGCGGAAATCCGAATGACGTTCATCTCCTTTTTGTTCGTTTGCATAACATTTTGCTACAGCTAGCATAGAGAAGAAGACAAAAAGAAGTCTTCTTCTCCATATATTAAAAGAACTGACTAATGAATTAGTGCCACCATGTGGTCAAAGTTGCATTGTATCTGAGCTTCGGGGTATCTCCGGTGTCTTTAGTTGATAACCTATGCAGTGCAAAACAGCAAGTTTCTGTAGCCCTCCAGGTGGCGATGGTTTTAAAACACTGGTTTAGCAAAGTTTTTTTTTGTTGGTGAGATGGAGGCTGGAGGACGAGCCACTGTGGCGATCTCTGAAGGGAACAGGCCACAGATGAAGAGGAAGATTCAGAGGTTGTGTGTAGTCAGTAAAGGTGATGTTTTTCTTTTTGTTCAGTTTCTTAGATTTTTACACCTCTCAATGGAAACCCAACAAGAAAAGCACCTTTATTAGTAAATCTTTAAGATGTTTAAAAAAAATTTGATCCCTCTGTCCTAAACCTCCAGGTCAGTGTTCCTGCCCAGCACTTCCTGTTCAAAGCAGCTGATGTTGCTGTTGTTGTGATGATGCCTGGAGCCCGTGGACATTTACTGCTGTCTCATGACAGTCTCACCTCTGACTCCTCAGCAGACCTGCCCCAAAGTTCAAATCGAACTTTTGTAGTTCCTCACTCGCTGACTTCCAGTCTACAAATGCTCAGTGTGGCGCTCGGCTTGAAGTTTTTAAGTGGGCCAAACAGAGTGGGATGACTCACATGCAGCCACGGCTCTTGTTTAGTTCACCCCGACGACTCGGGTCAAGGATCAAAACAGCTCGGACGGACGCACTGACACACACACAGTTCTTTCACGCTCATCAGTTATTAGTGAAGCATCTTTGAGATGTCTGGAGGTGACGACTGTTATTATGGATGTAAAGGAGGAAAAGTAATGTTTATTTTATTTTTATTTCTTGTGTTTGATGTCTTATGAGTGACAGAATATATTCTTAACACACCTAGCGATAGAACCACATCACATTGGGTTCTTTTTTTGGGGGGGGGCATGGGGGGGGGGGGGGGGGGGAAGGTCAGTTTCATCGGGGCTATTTGTACAAGCTTCAACCAATGTGTTTATTTATTTATTTTAAATTTCTATCTCCTTTTGTTGTTTTGTGTCTTTTCAAACACCCCATTAAAAATACCCTTGAATTTTTCCCAACTACTTAACTGGTTTTAAGGATGTTCACAGAGAAGTGTAAGCATTGCTTTTCATTTTCTTTTTATTTAAAAATATACTGATGTAAGATGTCCTCTGGCACAACTGAAAATGATTGCACATAAGTTTATTAACAAACATAAATATCATAAATACAGTGCTTCACCATCTAAAACAAAACTTCAGTTTTTCTCTTTTGTCAATGCAGTGATTCCTGAACAAAATCATTTCACGTCAGGTCAGTGATATTGTACAGATCGGACATTAGAACGGCGGGGTACAATCGGTCAATATACAGTGAGTCAAGCCCGTTTATGCTCCATAGATTGAGGTTAAAGCTATAAATAAATAATTTGATACAGCAGCACTACGTTGTACAGAGCCTATTAATGTGCTGATGGTCTGAATGTAAGAAGTAAGGAGGAAAACAAAAAACTAAGAAAACGTGAAAAAGAAAGTAAACAGGGATCTTTGGCGGAGAGGGAAGGAGCTCGTTATTTTCCAAAGAGCTCCATCATTCTTCTGTTATTTTGCGCCTGCTGAGCCATCTGTTCCGCCTTGGACATCTCCATCATCTCCCGGAGAAGGTGGAAGGTCAGATCCAGGGAAATCGCCGGGTCTTCGGACCTCCTTCCCCTCTCCATCGACTCATCACCGCGGTCCTCGAACATGAGCGCCCTGATGTTCCCAAATTTTCCTTGTAAAAGACGCCGTGTCAGCTGGAGTGGCAGCGCTCTGTTGGAGATAGGACTTCCACCGGGATACAGGGAGGAGGACGGGAAAGAGGTAGAGTGCCCACTTCCAAGGCGGAGGAAATA